CTATCTCCCATGTTAGATTCAATTCATTGTTATTTGATATTTTCTTTGTAATATATAATAATGAGATATTTTAAGAATTTATTTATAAATCATTTCTCAATCTTAATATATTTAAGTTTTCATTCTTTTATCTTTATTTTTTATATTTTAGACTTAATTAATTAATTAATCCTTAAAGATGTCATCTTATTTTAATTCCTATAAATATTTTATTTGATTTTAACTTCTAAAAAATATAAAAGATACAAAGTTTTATTCTCTAATTTTAGGCCTTAAGCCTTTATTATATTTTAAAGCAATCCTATTACGCCTTATTTATGTCCAATTTTTTGTTCATATCATGTCAAATGAATTTAAATATATAAAATATAACAGATGATTCAATTTTCTATAAAAAAAATTAATTTTGTGTATTTTATTTGTTATTATTAATAAAATAGTTCACAAATTTAAGATAAATAATTTAACAAATGGATAGTCTAATAAATACATTTATTTATAATTTTTATTTAAAACAAAGTTTATTTTTCTTTCTTGAAGTTTTAATACTTTTTACTTTTTACTTTTACTTTGATAATATTTAGAAAATAAAACACTTTTTATTTTTTAAAAATTTTATGTAAGAAATTAATATTATATTACAAATTTTCATATAAAAATATGATATGATATATTAATTTTGAAATAGTTAAAGTATGTTTGGTTATATTTTTTAAAAAGATTTTTTCTTTTTAAAAACTATATATATATATATAAGAAAATTCTTTTAAAAATACAAACAAACGTATCCCAAGGATATATTTAGGAGAGAGTTTTTGAAAAGAAAGAGAAGAGAGGATTTATTTTTTAATTTTATATTAAAAAAATTATATATTGTTTAAGATAAAAAATATATTATTAATATATTAAATTTTTGTTATTTTATTAATTTATATCTTTTATTTTTAAAAATTATTAATTTTAAATATATTTATCTAAAATATAAAAATAAGTCCCCCTCTTCAAAAATCATCTTTCAAAAATGCTCTAAATGTTTATAAGTATTTTTATCAGCTGGTGATGTAACTGATAGTATTTATATATTATATTCTTAAAATTTTATATATTTTTAATAAAAAACAGTTTCCTTGTTAAAATTATACGTTTTTATTGTATATTTTATTAAAATTAATCTGTAATTTGGTTTTTAAAAATAAATATAATTTAAAATAGTGTTTTTTTATATTTATAATTAATTTTAATTTAATTTCATGTTAAAGGTTTCACCGATTACTTTCAACCATGTGGTGTTAGCTAGACAGGGCACGGATCTCCCGGCCATAAACTTACCAATGACAATGCAGCACATGACCCTCTCGTTACTCGCAAAGTGACGCTCACAGCAAAGGCCATTAAGTAACCTATCAATTAATGTAATTAATAGAATTATTCGTATGTTTAGCGGATAATATTGTACATCATTATTTTTTATTATTTATTTATTTTAAAATTTTTATTTCGAAAATATATTTAAAATATCTTAAAATATTTATTTTTAATGACATATTAAATAATTTTTCTTGATCTTATTATGTTATTATTAAATACTTAAAATCAATCATAAAGACTTGTATTATATGTCGATGGTGGTGATTGGGTGGTCATTTCCGCTTCCAGTAAAACAGAGGTCTTTGTGTTTGTAATGCTATGGGAAAGGAAGGAGGGGGGACCATTGCATGGCATGGCATCTTTCTGAGTGCTTCTGTTGTTACGTGATTTTGATGGCTTCAGATCTTCAGTGGTCAGTGGCTGGGTATATAGAAGATAGGAAATGGAACCATGCCCCACGCTTCTTGTTGCCACGTTCAACTCAGTGCTTATTTACTTTTAATCTGCTAAGCCCAATCAAATGGTCTTGTAATCATGGAAGCAGCTCACAAGCCAAGACACCCAACGATACCGTATTAGCGTTTAATGAAAACACCAACTGCACCCCCCCTCCCTTCTCGTCACATTCAACAATGTTTGACTACCTTTTTCCAACCAAACAAAATCATTACTGTTTAATAATTATATATGGACTATGTTAATTCAATAATAACAAATAATAATTTTAAAGAAACAAGAATCCTTTTTCTTTCTTGAATTTCACTTCTCTCCGTCAAAATTTATTACTTCGACAGGTTTAACACTGTAAGATTTGTAGAACTCGTGATTGAGCACAAATTTTATTGGTATAAGAACATTAATTTCACACGATGTGTATTTTTCTCATCTAATTTCAGAGAAGGAAAAGGAAAAAACGGTAGAAGCTAACACAGCGAACTGCAAAGGCCTAGTGGTTCCTCTGTTGTTGGCGGGTCCTTACGGAGGCTTGACACCGCACATGAAGGGTTTTGGGAGATCATTTGACTGAGAATACGACAGACAAGGCACGATCATGATTGTCAAAAAGCAAAACAAGTTGGTTCTGAATTTCCTTGATTTCAGTCACAATTTTGGACTAGACTCCACAGACAACGACCTCCTAATGTTTTAGGCTTTTCTTTTTGTTGAATTGCAAAATCTCAAGGCGTTCAAGCTTTAGCCCATTGCCAAACACTCGCCTTTTGCTCAACTCTTCAAGGGTTGGAAACACGTTAATCATTTGCTTAGATTTGAGGCAAGTTTGGATTAATTTAGTTTTATTTAGTAAATGAAGTACGCTATGATTTTTTCAAAAGGTTTAAAATGGGGAAGTTTAAGGTCTTTTAAAAGGTTAAATATATAATATGACAATAAAAATATTATTTTTATTTTGTTGTATTAATTTTTTATAACGTCTTTTAAAACTACATATTCATTAATTATTTAAAATGTAGGATTATTAGTTTGCATAAAGACTTAGGTTTTTAATTAAAGATTAGTTGGATAAATTATTTAAAAGATCATTATAAAATAAGTTTTTAAGGTCTATTTTTGTCAACAACTAAGTCAGTGAAATTTTTATTATAAAATAATTTTTAAGTTAAAAATATATTAAAAAGTAATTTGATTTGAGTTTTAAGATTGAAAAAGTTATCAAATATATTTAAGCTTTTAAGATAAATCTTGACTTGATCTGATACAAATAAAAGATATACTTAGTAAATTTATTTTTTATTTAAAAATAAAATTGATAAATTTTAAATATTTATGATGAAATTTAATAATTGATGTACTTACTTGTCGGCTCTTACATCAAAGCTCTTTCGTTTAATATATTTTGTGTATATATTAATCAACGTGTTTAGAGAATGAAATGGTTTTTCAAATGTTGTATTGATGAAACAGCATTTTTAAACAAAAAAAAAAATGATAAAATTATATATTAATAACAGTGTCAATTTTATATTTTATAAACCTTTGTTATTTTTTACGAGAAAAACATATTTTTATTGAAAGATGCTTAAATTACACTTTTTGTTCGTTTTTATTTTAAAAACTCTAACCTTATATCTTTTAAATTTGTTTGCATTTCATTATTTTTTCCAAATTTTTAAAATATTCTTAATTCTTAATTATTTGAAACTTTTATTTAGATAAAAGCTGATGGAAACACTTGATCACGACAGCTGAAAAAATTTATTAAATTTAAATTACAAATTATTGAGATTCCAAAAGTTGTACATTAATTACAATAGATGTACTAAACATTTAAACCTAGAGATTTTAAATAAACAAAATAAAATAATACAAGGTATCGACAAATTATATGAAAAGTGTTCATAGAGTATACTTGTAAAAATATATTTTTATCTTTTAGTAATTCTGATTAACTTATGACCTCGTGTTTTTTCTTAAAATTTATATTATTTTTTAATAATTTTTTGCACCAGAAACTGCTGAAAGTAAATCGTCCAACTTGTTTTCATTAATAGCAACTGTATTCTAAGAAAAAGTTACTACATAAAAATATTTATTAATCACAACAAATTAGAAACAGAGTCTTATATCCAGTTTTACCATTAATTGCACCTTCTAGATTCCTACGTGAGTTAATTCTCCAATAAAGATTTTAATTTCCTTCTCTACATGAAACTAGTTTACTATTATCTAAAGTTACCCATATCATGCCAAAACTAGACAATTGAAATACAATCGATGTATAGCAACACTTTTTATTTTCATAAACCACAACAATTGAAAAATAGGCAAACAAACAGACTATAGAATCCTTACTTGCTATAATAGTAAATTACATTTTCAATATATTCCTTATTAATCTTTATGAAGATGTCTTTGTTAAGTTCCTGGAAAGAAGGTATTTTCTGAAAATAAAATTTTGATGTTGCTCCAATGTCCCATGCAGAAAAATGATTTAGTAAGGAAGATATAGTCTGAAAAACACACTTGTATGCTCAAATTTGATAGGGTTTAAGTAGCGACGTTTTGAGCATATGTTAAAGAGAGTAAGGTATTTAAAATTTTTGTATTCTTCCTCTTATACAGGTATTAGTTTTTTTTTAGTTTTGATCTTTTATCTTTATATTTATAGGTATTTTAAAATTGTTTTTTATTAAACCTTATACATATATATATATAAGAAACGCCACACTTTCTTTTTTGTTCAATTTCACATATTGTCACACAATATTCAATAAGGTGTTGCTATATATATATTTTTAAAAATGACACCTTTAATGATATAATTTTTATACTAATTTAATGATGAATAACCATCACAAACATAAGTATTGTCACCCGTAATAGATTCTTGAATTTATGATCTCCCTCTCAATAACCAACAACACACATCAATAGTCTTTGATTAAAGTAAGTTTGAAGTAACATTAACTACTAACAACTAGTAGCATCATCCATTACACATGCAACAAATAAAATTTCACAATTATCTATTAGCAGTAGGTCATTAAAAAAAAGATTTGGTAACGGGTGGATCCACCGTTTCTGCACCAACTCAAGCCTCAACAATCACAATGACCGTGGGTCAATGATTGATCTATAAATTTATAGTTCTTTATCTTCGCCCAGTTTTTCACAAAGAATAGAAAAAGTAGAGTTAAATTCATATATTCACACAAAAATTTCAAGCATTAGGATAAGAGAAGAGGCTTTCATTCCCTCTCTCAGTTTCAGTTTGGGGCCTCACTCTCTTCTCCATTCTCTCTTCTTCCATACCCAAAATGCGTTTCCTCTTTCTGGTTCTCCTTCTTCATTTCCATTTCCCTGAAACCCTCTCTGCTCCAATATCAGAGTACAGAGCGCTTCTCTCTCTCCGTTCAGCCATTACCGACGCCACCCCCTCAGTTCTCTCTTCCTGGAATGCCTCAACCCCATACTGTTCCTGGCTCGGCGTTACCTGCGACGCTCGCCGCCACGTAACCGGTCTCAACCTCACTGGACTCCACCTCTCCGGCACGCTTACCGACGACGTTGCTCATCTCCCATTCCTGTCCAACCTCTCCCTCGCCGACAACAAATTCTCCGGCCCTATCCCTCCGTCGCTTTCTTCCCTCTCCGCCCTCCGCTTCCTCAACCTCTCCAACAATGTCTTCAACGGAACCTTCCCTTCCCAGCTTTCCCGCCTCAACAACCTCGAGCTCCTCGACCTCTACAACAACAACATGACCGGAGCACTCCCTCTCGCCGTCGCGGAGATGCCCAATCTTCGCCATTTGCACCTTGGAGGAAACTTCTTCTCCGGCCAGATCCCGCCGGAGTATGGACGGTTGCGGCGGCTCCAGTACCTGGCCCTCTCCGGCAACGAGCTCGACGGAACCATTCCGCCGGAGATCGGGAACTTAACCAGCCTACGGGAACTCTACATCGGATACTACAACACGTACACCGGCGGCATTCCGCCGGAGATCGGGAACTTGTCGGCGTTGGTGAGGCTGGACGCCGCGTACTGCGGGTTATCCGGTGAGATTCCGGCAGAGGTGGGGAAGCTTCAGAAATTGGATACTTTGTTTCTTCAGGTGAATGCGCTCACGGGGTCACTGAAGCCGGAGCTGGGGAACCTGAAGAGCCTGAAGTCGATGGATTTGTCTAACAATATGCTCTCGGGTGAGATTCCGGCGAGCTTCGGCGAGCTGAAGAACATGACGCTTTTAAACCTGTTCAGAAACAAGCTTCACGGAGCTATTCCTGACTTTCTAGGGGATCTTCCGGCGTTGGAAGTGGTGCAACTGTGGGAGAACAACTTCACTGGGAACATTCCCGAGGGTTTGGGAAAGAACGGGAAGCTCACTTTCGTCGATGTTTCTTCGAACAAATTGACTGGGACACTCCCACCTTACTTGTGTACTGGGAACCATCTTGAGACTCTGATAACTTTGGGGAATTTTCTGTTCGGTCCAATCCCTGAATCGCTTGGGAACTGTCAATCCTTGAACCGGATTCGAATGGGTGATAACTTCCTCAATGGGTCTATTCCTAAGGGTCTTTTTGGACTTCCAAAACTCACTCAGGTTGAGCTTCAGGACAATTATCTCTCAGGAGAGTTTCCTGAGGCTGATTCTGTTTCTGTTAATCTTGGTCAGATTACTCTCTCCAACAACAATCTCTCTGGGCCTTTGCCTCCTTCCATTGGAAAATTCTCGAGCATGCAGAAGCTTCTTCTTGATGGAAACATGTTCTCTGGTCATATTCCTCCTCAGATTGGGAGCTTGCAACAGCTCTCAAAGATTGATTTTAGCCACAACAAGTTCTCGGGTCCCATTGCGCCTGAGATCAGTAAGTGCAAGCTCTTAACTTTCGTTGATCTTAGCCGCAATGAGCTTGCTGGGGATATCCCAAATGAGATAACTGGTATGAGGATACTGAATTACTTGAATCTTTCGAGGAATCATCTTGTGGGTAGCATTCCTGCCTCCATAGCCTCAATGCAGAGTTTAACTTCTGTTGATTTTTCGTATAACAATCTGTCTGGTTTGGTTCCGGGTACCGGTCAATTCAGCTACTTCAACTACACGTCGTTCTTGGGAAACCCTGACCTGTGTGGCCCTTATTTGGGTGCTTGCAAGGATGGGGTTGCCAATGGCTCACACCAATCTCATGTTAAAGGGCTCTCTTCTTCTTTGAAGCTGTTACTTGTTATTGGGCTGCTTGCATGCTCCATAGCATTTGCTGTTGCGGCAATTTTCAAGGCTCGGTCACTGAAGAAGGCCAGTGAGGCTCGTGCATGGAAATTGACCGCGTTCCAGCGTTTGGAGTTTACTGTTGATGATGTTTTGGATTGCTTGAAGGAGGATAACATAATAGGGAAAGGAGGTGCTGGCATTGTGTACAAAGGGACTATGCCTAATGGGGATCAGGTTGCTGTGAAAAGACTTCCGGCTATGAGTAGAGGCTCTTCCCATGATCATGGATTCAATGCGGAAATTCAGACTTTGGGGAGAATCCGACATAGGCACATTGTTAGATTGTTGGGGTTCTGTTCAAATCACGAGACAAATCTTTTGGTCTACGAGTACATGCCCAATGGAAGTTTAGGTGAGGTTCTTCATGGAAAGAAAGGTGGTCATTTGCTTTGGGACACGAGGTATAAGATTGCTGTGGAGGCTGCCAAGGGGCTTTGCTATCTTCACCATGATTGTTCTCCACTTATTGTTCATCGAGATGTCAAGTCCAACAACATCCTTCTTGATTCTAATCACGAAGCCCATGTTGCTGATTTTGGGCTTGCCAAGTTCCTGCAAGATTCCGGAACATCTGAATGCATGTCTGCTATTGCTGGTTCCTATGGATACATAGCTCCAGGTACAGTTCAATTTTGACATAATTGATGACTTGTATGTAACTTTAATTTTTTTGGCAAATTTTCTTTTCCTGATCATAATTGCTCGTCTAATCAATGTTCAGAATTTGAGTCTTTGACTAAACATCACTGTTTAGGTGTAGAGTGTTGATATTGAGGGGATGCCGCTAAATTAATTAATATTGCTATGTGGTTTTTCTTTAGCTTGATTTTCTATCGTGCACAAATGATGATATCTTGATTTGTCCCCTAATTTAGTCTATTTCTAAGCCAACTACTGAAAGTAAATGGTAGGTAGCTCTGCACCGTTTGAACTTTGACCATAATTCCCATCCCCACCTATGAGTGGATAAATAGTGAAGTTATAGGTTAAAGTCATTCACATCGGGAAACTGATGGCGATTGGCAAAATGTCAGATAAAACGGACTACTTATTACTTTTCACATATTGTCTTTGTTTTACTTATTTCTAATTAAGGTGGCTGCTTTATTTTATTTAGTTTATGATACAAGTTTGAGTTTGATTGCAGAGTATGCCTACACGTTGAAAGTTGATGAGAAAAGCGACGTGTACAGCTTTGGTGTGGTTCTTTTAGAGCTTATAACAGGCAGAAAACCAGTTGGAGAATTTGGGGATGGTGTGGACATTGTGCAATGGGTCAGGAAAATGACAGACTCTAACAAGGAAGGAGTTCTAAAAGTTCTTGATCCTAGACTTCCCTCACTTCCCCTTCATGAGGTGATGCATGTTTTCTATGTGGCCATGCTGTGTGTTGAAGAACAGGCAGTAGAGAGACCAACTATGCGTGAGGTTGTTCAAATACTGACAGAACTTCCAAAGCCACCTGGTTCTAAACAGGGGGACCTAACAATTACTGAATCCTCTTTGTCATCATCAAACGCTTTAGAATCTCCAACCTCAGCCTCTAAAGATCATCACAACACACCCCAATCCCCACCACCCGATCTTCTTAGCATTTGAAGTGCTCTGTTGGGTGTGGAATGGTTAATCTTATGCAGTTACTTCTTTTTTCCTGTCTCTCTTCTGGGGGCTGGGGTTTTTCTGACTTACGGTGTTAATGTTTGAATTCTTTTTAATGGTTTTGTACAGTAGGAATGGTGGGGGGGTTATTTTCTTATAAAGTCACTGTCTTCATCATGTGGTACTGCTTTTAATTTTTATGTTACTGGCTGTTGTTGTTCTGAGCCTACACTGAGGAGGGGTCAAGGGGAGCAATGTAAACATCATGGGTTGTATTATTTGTTGAGGGGATCAATGACAGGTAGAGTGAAAGGGACACACAATGACACAAACGGGTTGGGTATGAAACAGCGGGTATATTGTATGGTTTATAACATTATTGATGAATCCTGAGTGGATTGGCGCAGAATTAGCCTGAGCTGAGTCTTATCACTCGGGCTTGGATTAGCTTATTCCAAGATGTTAACTTATTTCGAGAAAATTTCTGAGTGAATCGGGCATGCCGCGAGGCTTTTACAGTAGTTTGGAACTCCTTTCCTTTTGCTTTTTTCATTCATGCTAAAAGATGAAAGTAACTAGTTGGCACGAGACTTTAGGACGTTAAAAAGGATGTAATTTCCACCCCCCGGTAACAAAAGAGAACAAAAAGTGAGTAATATTGTAATCGATTATTTATAGATTCAAACTTATTTGGCATTAATCCGCCAGAACTATTAGAGTGGACCACAGTGCTTCAAAAGTATGGTAGCCAGCGTTAATAAAGGCCTTTAAATTTTTATTTAACCTCGCAGAGAGGGCTAGATGGAAGCCACCAAACACCACGCAACAAAATATTAGTTTGTTATATTAGTGGAGTTATCATATTTCACCTCGTACAGTATATTTTACCTATTTTTGAATAAGATTGACCGATGTTTTGTACGTAGGAAATTAACTTAGTATGTGTCCAAAGCCTTTGCCTGGGATGCCTTGGCTAGGTTGTACCATAATAATACAGTTGTTCCACAAATTTCTCTGTTTGAATAGCCCTACCCACAGACCAGAGTCAGGTGAGGAAAGGTTACCTTGGTTAGAGTTAGAAGGAAGTAACGAAAATGATTTATGATTTAGGGTTGGTGCACATATAATAACAAAGAAAAAGACTACCGCGGAATTGAAGTTTCTGGTACCACTTGCCCTACGCCATTTGCTAAAAGGTAAGCAAGGACAAATTTCAGTAACTGGCTGATTGAGGGGTGATTGTGTATATCTCTCAGCCTTCGTTCAAATCTAGAGAATTTCCATTTTTTTTCAAAAGAAAAAAGGGGACAAGGGTCCTCTCATAATATGCTTTTGATTCTAAATCCAAAAACTAGGTTGCAAGCAAACAGATTGATTTTGCATGCTACTACCACCACGACGGGATGGAATGGTTGTTTAGGACACTTGATTTTGCAGCAATGTGAGGAAAAAGTGGCTACGTTGTACGGTGATCGGGGTTCTTTGATTACAATACAAGACAATGACCGGAATAGTTTGAATTTCCCATATTAAGACAAATAGATATTCGTAATAAAAGCACTTGATATCAATCAAATCACTTTAAAGAGAATGATGGAACACGGATAAGTGAAGGGAAAGTAAACATTAACAGAGATTAACAAAAGAATGAAATAAAAATAATTATCTCAAGCTCAAACGGCTTAAAACGAGTGTGATACACCTGTAAAGGACCTCATTAATATCTAATGAGGAATAAAATAAAATGAAATAGAGTGACAAATCTAATATTATGATAAATGTTTAATTTTCTTTAAACAATATTTTGGATATAAATTTTGTATATAAAAAGACTTTTTTTTCGTAGAACTAATTTTACTATGCTTCAACTGTTATTGGCTCATATAAAAATAATTTTTATAAAAAAATAATATAAAAAATATATTTCATCTTATTCCATTCTATTACATGTTAAGTAATTTAAATATAATACAATTTTATTTCATTCTAATTAATTCGGTCTCATTTTATCACTTTTTTCATCAATCTAAATTTAACCCCAGAATACTCAAACTAGTCATTATTGCTCTATGATTGGGCAATTAAAGATTGGAACATGGAATTCAACCAAAAAAGCTATCCACAACGGAGACACCATATGCATAGGACAAAGTCTACCCATCTGTTTTTTTTTTCCTTCGCTGTATTGAGTGCAAGATAAATCCAATATGTAATAACACGAAAAACAATCACTGGGTGTGGCTTCCAAGTTCAAATTATTTGGGTACCCCAAAATTGAAGATTGAAGGAAAAAAGACGGAAGGTGAAATTTGAAAATTGAATGAGTCCCAAAACGACAAACAACTTTACCGTAAAATCTATCAAAACTCACAAGGAGAGGGAGTGTAGGGACTTAGCACGTTTGGTCCACTGATTCTCAGTTTGCTTGCACCTATTGCTCATTTACACGTAAGATAAGTCCATTTTTATATATATTTTTACAATAATTCTTATAAGAAAGATTGGAAAAGAAGAATAACATATAAAAATAAGTAGTATAATAAAGAGAATTAAAAGAAAAAATGCTATAATAACTTGTTGCATGGGAATTATTACTTTTGGGATATGTAGATTGAAAGACAGGGCACTATAGGAAGAGGATCAGAAAGCATTTGTCTTCCGGATTTTCTTCTGTGCAATTCTTTGTTTTTGAGTAATTGGCTGAGCTCTCCTTCCTAAGATTCTTACTTAGCAGTTTGCATTTGGAACTTTTCACAAAAACTCTTCAAAAGGGCAAAGTCCTAATTTATGAAAGGGATAAAATATTAGATAATAATTAGCTTACGCCCAATAGCAGAGGCAAAGATCTTAGCGTCTCTCTTTAGCGGCTACCTGATTTCTTGAGTTTCTAATATTACCAGAAAAGGCAGAGGAATTTATATTAGACTTTTGTTTTTTAATAAATTGTTCGTGCATGAATCATAATTCAAAAGTCATATCCTCTTCTTTAAATGTACGATTTACATGTCGCTAATTTTGTAAAGTATACGTATAGTGTTCTATTTATGGGGGGGTTAAAATTGAAGAAAAAGGTTCCTTATATCTTGTGAAGGGAAGGAAACAGTGCAAGTATATGCAATAAAAGTAGAAGATGCAGCACGACATATATTTCCAAATAGTAGGTGGAGTGATTGATTATTTGTGTTGTGTGGTTGCCCACAAGATCTCCCTTTTATTGCTGTTCCATCTCATTACTCTCCTTTGACTTCATTTAGTATTGCAGAAACCGCAGTAGTTATTATATGTTTACCAGATCTGTTCACTTCCTTCTTCTCAGAACTCATATCACATATTAATGTCTGTTACCTGCTTATAAGATAAACATACATGAATAATTATAAATCTTTTAATCTTTATTCCTGTAAAATTTTCTTATTATCAAATAAAAAATTATTTAATATATTTTATGATTTCAAAATAATAAGTGTATAGCTTTTTCTTATTTAATACTCCACTTACTTTTATAAAATATAGGAAGATATAGCAAAGCTTAACATAGATAGATATATTTTGTATGTTGGTGTTATCGCCAGTGAGTGAGCACGTGATGTTTCATTTTCATTTTGTGTTACAATTTTTTTGAAATATTAACTAGCGTGTGTCAATTTTCTCCCTTTATTATTTCATAAATTATTAACAGATATAAAATATCAGCAATTTTTTATTAGTGAATTTGTTTAGTTATTGACATATTATCGATTGTCGTTAACAAATAATCGTACGATTTTATTTTTTTTGCTAATAATCATACGAAATTTTATCAAAATCTTACAAATTTCCCAGGATAGTAAACCGATACAAACGTCAAATACAAATTTTAATTTAAAAAATAAAAAAAATATTTTTATGTTTTTATAAAATCAAAATGATCTATAATTAAACTTATAATTACTCACTCAAAGGCACGTTCTTGCAAACTTATTTATATACTGATCATCGTGAATGTTGAGAATGCAAACACCTTTCTTGCCCTTTCTTTGCTTCATTCAGACTTATTTTTTTATTTGATTAAGAAATATTAAAAATATTTACAGTACATTTGTTAAAGATTACCTCCTTAAATAAAGATAAAATAAAAAAAATTGCTATTATACTTAAAAATTATAAAAATTAATCATCATAGTTATATATTTTGTTTTCTTACTTATTTATTGATAAAAATATTTTAATTTTCTTTCAACAACTGGACAAAATAATAGGAAAAATATATATATGAAAAAAGAAAGCAGTAAAAGATTACTGTGGACTTTGATGATGACTTCACATGGCCTTCTGAATACAATACCAATTTAAGATTTCCCAAATCCCACCTGTTTAAGCATTTTGGGCAGAGCAGATTTTCCTGTGCCCTAAAGTTTTCTACAACTCTTAAGATTTGCAAATTCGGTGGGAGACGAACACCAGGTAACCTCTCAAACAATTATATAATCTTTCACCTTTTCAAACAAGTTCCATCTCAATTTTGTTTTATGAGGATTTTGACAGTTAATGCTAACATTAACGTTCACTTTTGGAATAAAATAACACGTTTCTGTACCTACATTTTAAAAAGGCAATGCTTTTTTAAATCATATTTGTATGTTTATTTTTAATGTTCTATTTTTTCACGAGTAACTAGATACTTCAAATTCATTATTCACATTTTAGTTAAATAAAATTGTTTTATATATCTTAATTATAAAACACGACAAATAAAATATCTAACAAAATTTAATATAATAAATTAATTATAAAGTATAATACATGTCAAATGTTTATAACAAATAAATGATTTAAATAAATTTAAAGTCAACATAATAAACTTATGACAACTAATTTAAAATTTTAAAACAATGCCTACAAATATCTTTTTTTTTTTTTTTCAAGAGAAAGCCCACAAGTATCTATTCTAGTCTAATGGTATGAAGCCCTGCATAAAAAGCCCAAAACTTTTGTCCTCGGAATCCACATGTTGTAAACGTAAGGCCCTTTGTTTGGCAGAATTTCCTTGTTTTTGGTCGTTATTGGCAGAGTTTATTAAAAGTGGTTGCTCTTGGATCTGGTCTGGTCCATAATTTTTGTTCTCTGATCCCACATAATTGGAATCCAGTATTGCAATTATTACACGTTCGTTTACTTGTTTGTTTGTTTGATGATACATAGAATACTATCCTTTTATTACATAGTTCTAAACAGATTCATACATATCAAATAACTAATTCAAAAATTGTGATCTCACAACGGACACGGAACAATCTTACCATTTATTTTCAGGTCTTACAATCATTAACTTCTCATTTTCTGATGAAAGAAATGCCCTTCTCCACGCTTGCTGCTAACTCTTTCTTGGCCTTTTCCAAACCCTCCCTGTTGAAATAAATGTAAAAGTTGATAAACTCTAATGTTTCAGTTTCACCTGTATGAATAAGAAATTCGTTTGTAAGCAATCACTGCATACCTCTCATAATCATTCAGGGGACCAAGAGGAAGAATTTCCTCAATCCCACCTCGGCCAAGTCGTACTTTTGATGCAAAGAATGGGAGTTCAGTCACCTATGATAGACTTTGTTAGTTCTTAAGAAAACATTCAATCAAGCTTAGACTCTAGCAATGTCAACATAACATTACAATCTGCTAAAATGTTACGGGGCGGAAGGATAGCATATTAGCAACTCTAAGATGATCTTTAAGTAAGAGAGGCTTGTGTATACCTGTGAATCAACATATGCACATTGAATGATGCCAGCATCTCCTCTAAGGGCATGAAGGCATGCATCTGCAAATTTTACTGCAGCATATGCCTGCACTTCATTACATGTTTGATATTACGTTTACTTGAACCAAAATGATTTTGTCATGAATGTTAAGAAAATGACATAACCGAAATTTCAAAAAAGGGGAAACAATCACAAGCGTGTGCACACACACCCAAAAGTAAAAATAGAATACTAACCATTGATAGTGTTGCAGAACCAGCACCAGCTTTGGCCTAGAGAAAATTACAAGACTGTAAAAATCAAAATTCTGATGTTGTAGATAATCCATAGCAATGGAGTAATCAGTTACTGCCAAAGGACACTAACGGATACATTCACTAAGACAGATTAGTCATTACTTTCAGACTTAAATTACTCACGTGTAAGTTTCCCTGCATATAGAAAAGCTTTCCTCATAAAACTTCCCAGGCAAGCCACTTGATCAATATATTAACCAAGGGCTTGGTAGAATTGCTTACTACCAAGTGAAATAAATGTAAAGAATGGGGGCAAAGTGTTTTTACGTCTGAGCCCTGGTAATATTTGAATCATCTAATGCCTAAACCAACCCAAATAATATGTAATATGTTTATCATTAGGACCTTCACAGTTGACAGATGAGTAATGATTGGAGTTTGGAATGTTAATAATTGAGATTGAAGTAAATATATAGATGTTCACCTCAACAACTTCAGTTCCACCATTCTGTATGCGATCAGTCAGGTATTCAATTTCTTTTGGGGTGAAAGAACAAGGAGGTTTAACCTGATAAATGGGTGATTTTGTCAGGTAAAAAGTATAACATTTTTAGGCATACAAAACCATATATGGTAACCATTAAAAATGAGTAGTAGTTTTGGTGAAGACCCGAGAAAGTAGAGGTAAAATTGTTATTCCAGCGTGTCCCCCAACAACTGGGACATCCACATCCCTTGGATCAATACCCAGAACTTCTGCCTGCAGTTTTATGCCCAACAGGTAAAAATGAATGAAGTGAAACTCCATATATAAGATTAAAAAATAATACGAGAGAGCTAAAAGTACAGAAACTTTATGGGATCCAGATTTCAACCATATGTTAAAAAATCCACAAAATCTAGATTATTAAATGGATGAGCAGAAACTGGAATTTGGTATGAGTGATACAGTATTAACAAAACCAGTATTCCATCTTCTGAAACTGATACCACAGTAAAAAAGAAGGATTACAGATTGTATCTCTCACTCTCTGTAAAACAAAAAGAAAAATCAAGATAGAGGACAATGCCACAGGTTCTTCAAGGAACCAGCATATCTTCTACACTTCCTACTCAATTTCTGTCTGACCTCACATTTCCTATCCTTCACCGTTATATTTTCATTTTCCATGATTGAATTCCCTTCTGCCACACCAAATCACATGCCAAATTGGCATTCAGTTATGCTAAAAACTATTAGCATGAGCATTCCCTCTCTTTTATCCCCATTTTGATTTCCTTACTACGTGTATTGACTATTAATCCTTTATTCTCAATCACCTTCCCTGTAGTATACACCTTAGTAGTGGTGATATATGAGAATCACAGTGCCAGCACAGGTATTTCAAAGATTGTTTTAATTTTCTTTAAGCTAGCAATGTTAATTACAGGGGTCCAAAGGAAATTATTGCCTTTTGCATATACAATAAATGAAACAGCACTACAGAATACAAAAGATAATGACAAAAGAGCAGATCAGCTCTACTTACCCAAAGATGGTTATAATTAAGTAGTATGCATAAGCATGGTCAAAACTCAAAACAACAGAAATGCTACACTGGCGATTTTCTTGCAGTTGACATTATAAAAGTCAATTCACTATCCTATTTATCCAGCAACTATAAAGACCCATACTAATTTCGAGAGAAGTAGCACATACCACAAACGTATTGGCTCTAACAACATCAAGCATCGTCACTCCCAAAAGTCTCTTGGGATCGTAAGTACCAGCTCTTTTGAAAACCTCAGCTGCGATTGGGACCGTGGAGTTAACCGGATTGCTTATCAAGTTGACAATCGCTTTAGGACAACACTTAGCAATTCCTTCACACAACGTTTTAACAATTCCGGCATTTATATTGAAGAGATCATCTCTTGTCATTCCAGGTTTGCGGGGAACACCAGCAGGGATAATCACCAAGTCCACGCCTATAAGTGCATCCTCAAGTTGCTTCTGCCCCAAAAACCCTCGAACCTAAATACCAACCCTTTTAGTCATGCCAGCAAGCAATGCAACCAGAATTGAAAAAATCAACTTAATTTCACAAATCTAGATTGTGGCACAAGGTCAACCACAGCAAGTTTATTAATTTAGATAAAATTCAGAAAAACAAATCAACTTATTTTTGTAAAATCCAATTCCTATAATGCCAATGAAAAAAGGAATAAGGAACTTACAACAGCACCAGTGTCCATGTGACTAATATCAGCAGTGACGCCAGGGGTGTTGACAACATCATAGAGGTGGAGAACCGAAACGAGTGGGTTCATCTTCATCAACATGGAAAGAGGTTGTCCTATGCCACCTGCGGCACCCAAAATGGCCACTTTGAATCCAGGGGCACCACCTTTGGCACGGCAACGGCCATGCTTCAAATAAGCATCATCTGTCTGTTCAATCAAATACATCAAAAAAATCGAACGATGATATTATTCTTAATAATCGAACAAACTGTTGGTGTAAGAGAAAGACGAAACTAACCTCCGGATTGGGAGGGAGGAGGTGACCGGCGATTCTCGCAATTCGGTGGTTGGCATATGAATTTGCTTCCATACTTTCCTTTCACGGTGAAATGGGAAGGATTGTAATGTGAATGAGTATGATGATTGGTATGTATATAAAAAGCTTGCGTGTGGAAAAAGATGTGATCTGGGTCTGTGTGTGCCGATTGGAAAGGTGCAAATTGACCTTATCTCAATGATTTACCTATCAGCTCTAATGCTCTTTGCTGTTGTTAGGCTTCCCCGTTGGGTGTTCGGAATTTTCATTTCCGGTTCATTTTTTCCTTAGAACTTTTCTCAGTTTTTACCTTTTTGTCAGTAACATATTTTCCCCTTTTTGGGTATTAATTTATATTAATGGAAATTCATGAAATTACGTATAAAATATAAACAATTAATTAGAATGTGAAATACGTAGCTTGGTGAGTTTCAACGATCTTCCTTCATAAAAAATATTAAAAATAATGCATTAGAAAATGTACTACTAAAATTTATTGATTTTAAAATATGTTCAGATTAAGGCCCAGTAGTAGCGGATTTAAATCTGCACTTCACCTTTTTTGGTCTTCACTTCACCTTATTAAATAAGCCCATGATATTTCATATTCTTGTAGGACGGGAAGAATATTTTAGTGGAGGGCGTGGCCCATAACGTACCTCCTAATCCACATCTTTAGGTATGAATGTTGGGCCAAGTGGGACAGACCCAAACTGCCCATGCATTGAATATTCAGAAGTGACACCAAGCATAATATATATATAAGAGAATTTTTAGGCTAGCTTGTAATTATGAAGTTATTTTTATATTTTCTTATACGTAAAATAATAAAAACTATGAATTTTATATTAATAAATAATAATTTTAGTAATTTATTTAAAAATATAAATATTTTTTAATTTTTACGATATTAAATAAATCATAATTATTAATTTAAAAAGAATATACAGTGCTCTTTCAATCTTATAAACATTATAGCTATCACCTAACATAATAATAATATTATTGCTTTAATATATGCCATTAAAATTATAAAATTAACTGTAATTAAAACGGAAAAATGCACTTCCATTATTTTTCTATTTTATATAAATATTACGTTAAAGAGTGAATTGTGGTAGTTTTAATTATTTATATTTACATTTAAATTGAGGATGAAATTAATAAATATCTTTTATTAAAAATTATAAAGAGAATGCATTATTATGATTTTAATAAAAATATTAAAACAAAAAAAATTTATTTAAGACATTAGTCATGATTATTGTTATTATAAAGTATGAGTTATGAATAAAATTAAACCTTATAATATATATAAGCGCATGTTATTTGCTTTGTTCTCTCAAAATACTTTGTGTTGTGTGGATCTCTGCCATTGATTATAAGAAGATCATATTCTTTTTTTTATTGATGCATGGAAATAAAAAGGTACCTTAGAGGACCCTCGTGGATTCATATTCAGTTTAGACGTGTTTGGTTCCAAATCCATGTTTAGGTGTCTGCCATGACTTGTGATGGTTATAGAAACTGTTTGAAGAGTCAATAGTGTTTTAAATTGGAAAATGCATGCAAAAATAATTTTTTTATAATTTAACTGAATATTAAATCGATAAAATATTATCTTATAATCTATTAATTTAAATATAATTCAAATGGAATTAAATTAGTAATAATTAAAAAATTATTAAAATGTTATATGATGTATTTAAAACAAATTAATATACAAAATATAAAATCAATTTAAAAAAATAAAATTAATATAAAAGATCATATTACATGTTCTATAACATAAAAAATACGACAAAATTATACATAGTAATAATATTATATATTTTTTGTATTTATTCAAAAAATATTTTTAAAACAAACACATAAAAATTTAACAGAAAGAAAAAAAATGAAAAGACCAATTGAAACTAATTTTTAATATTGGACTGTCCAAACAAGTGAGCAGATCAATTTCAAGTTAATTAGCTGATTCAGTTTTAATACCTATGTGTAAACTTAACTTTAGTAAAGCAATTTTTAATTGAATTGACAATTTTATATTTAATTTAGGTTTAAATAAGTTTTTAACTTTTTTTAAAAAAAGTTTAGAATTTTTTATTTAGCTCTTCAATTTTAATTTTTAAAAAATAAAGTCATATATATATATATATATTAAATATGATTAGTCTATTAATGATTTATTAATTTTATTATTATTTATTTAAGTAATATTTAAGTTAATTAATATAACATGACATAAAATTTATAAATATTAATACAATATTTATACTTTTATTTTATATTTTTAAAATTTAATTTTATAACATAAAATTTTATTTAAAAAAAAAAAAAGAATATGATCTTATTACCGACCTTTCTCGTCTTTTATGTTTAAATTAAATTATGTTAATTAACTTGATTGTTACATAACAAGATAATAAATTATTGATAAAAAAATATAAAGATTTTTTTTAAAGATTAAATTTTGAAAAAATATAAATATTTGGAGGATTAATTTTTTCTTAACTCTAAATTTTATCAAATCTTATTTTTAACTAAAAATTTTAACCATAGATTATTACACTTTAATTTTATAAAGTTAAAATTATGTATAATTGTAGTTACATAAAAATAAAATTATATTTTTTAATAGTGTTTTGAATAAGAAGGAAGTTCTAGATTCTATTATTCTAAAATCTTGAAAATGACTATCACTTATTAGTAATAGAGAAGTTATTTTATTAGCTGATTGGTATTTGAATTCACGAAATTACATCTGTCTTAATTATGTATAAATATATTTTTATTTTTTATTTCTCTGAGTTAATAATTTTATTCTGTGTATATACGTTTTAAGTTTTTTTTAAACTTTTTCTAATAATATATATTTTTTAAATAAAATATATAATTAAATTAAATTTGTATATAAAGAAACAGTGGGCTGGGCGTGTTGGATTGCCCAATGAAGTGGAAGGCACAACACCGTCATTTCTTCATAGTCAAAGAAAATGATTACCTCTCGTGCTAGCTTCTCCTGTCTTGTATTGTTAATGAAAATTGTTTTGTAGATATTTATGGAGATGTCTACATTTAAAAAGAGAAAAATAATAAACATAATAGACGATAAAATGCAGATAAATAAATTATTAAATAAGTATATAATATTTAATAATTATAATTGCTTGTTAAGGTATTGTTGAGTTCGATGATTTCTTAAGGCTTTTCGTTTTGCTGGAAAGTGGAATCTCCAGTAAACACGGTGAGCGTCAGATGTTGTCTGCCTTTACCAACTTCAGTTCAATGAAAATCTCATTCACACTGTGCAATTAAACAATGCAAATTGAATGAGCACGTTTCTCATCCAGTCAACATTTGGATAAGCAAAATAGCTTATGTAAAGAAAAAAAAATAGGAAGATAAATTATATTTTGTATTTCTTAAAAATGCTTAAATTTTATCATTATTTTTAATTTTGAAAGGTGTGTTTCCCTTCAAAAATAAGATTTATAACATATTAGTTTATTTAAATGTGAATAAATATATACTTAATAGCTGTGCGTTATGAAGGAAATAAAGTGTAATATCAAACAAACTTTTCTTGTAACCTGAGACGCTCAAAGCCCCAAATAATGAAATCGTCACTTTTGACTGACTGGACTTTACTGAATCATTGTCCTTAACACGAGGGTTAATTTCACATGCAGAAAATCCGCTAAAACAGTATATATATATATATATATATGACTTTCAATATATATAGCTAAAAATTTTAAGCAAGAAATAAGAATTGGAGAGTTAAATAAAAATAAATAAATTTTCTCAATTTTTAAAAAATAATTAGCTAAAAAAACTCAATTGAAAATCATACATTATATAAATTAAAAGGGTGAAATATGTTATAAGAGAAAGAAGGGTATCTTTTAAGAAATGAATGATGGTTTGATTGGAAGAATTTTCATGAAAAAGGGATGTCATCTATCTAATAAAACAATGATGTATTTGACAGGATTTTTGTCACACAAACCGGCCAAAAACTGCATAAAAAACCGTCAGCATCAACCATCCATGAGGTTGTAGCTGTTGGGGTGGGACATCAATCAATGATTTACGTTGTAGGGTGAACACAAAAACATTAATCCTCAATTACAATTACAAGATAATTAAATAGATAGATTATTATTATGGGAAAGAGAAAAGGAGAGTTTTGTGTCTTACCAAAAATGGGGACAAAGCGTAAGTCGAAAAAGGCCCATCACCGGCCGAGAAACGCATTTGCTTAGCCGAAACTTCTTCTCTCTCTCTCTCTCTAACCAATCTGGGCCCTCTCCTCTTATATACCAATCTCTTTCATCTCTCTCTTCCATACTTCTCTTCCTTCCTTCTCTTTCTTTCTCATACTCTCTCTTCTGAGTTGTACTTTGAGAATTGAGAGAAAAGAATGAAGAGAAGAAAACACTACTTTATGGGCTCTACACACTCACTACACATCCTTTTGTTCGCAACTTTCTCTCAAGAGGAAAACACCAACATCCACATACCCTTATTGACAAAGAAAAAGACCCTCCCACATAAGCTAACACTCCTTGGTCTGTATGAACCGTGAAGTTGATAGAGGTCATATCATATCTGCACAGTTTGGAAGGCGAAGAATTGCAATGTAACTTTGCTCTAATTCCCACTTTTTATTTTCTTAAAATAAAAAATATTTATCTTTTAGATAGGAAAAAAAATAGGCAGACAGGATGGAGCCAGGCAGTGTTAGTTTTAGTTTTATGGTTCCTTTTATTTAAGAAAAATGAATTGGTTGAAAGTTCTATTTCGTACTGTTGCTCCTTTGAGGAATCAAAAGGAGGAGGAGAAAGCACATAGAACAGGCCAATGTTTTTATCATGGGTCATGGATCATGAATCATCATTATCTAGAAGGATATTTGATATTCTGGTCGTTTACATGCGTGTGTATGGGCTTCCCAATTATTGATATTGTGGCAATGATATAGTGAGAATCATTCGCCTTCTTGTTCTTCACCTAACTTTTCATTGTTTCATACAAAATTTTAAGTTCTTGTTATTGTTCTTTATTTTGAATTTTGTCATAAATTAGTTGTCAAGAAAAAAGGTTATTGACTATAATTTCGAGCATGGTACGTAATTCCTTATTAACTTTATCTTATTATTTGATTATCGAATCAAGCATCTGGCCCGAGTTCTGGTGAAATGAAATAACTATTATCATGATGAAATTTTATCAATCAATACTTTAACTTATTGTTCAGATGGTATTTATATTTTAAATTATATTTTGTTTACCATAGCTCGTGGTTGCTTCTATTCAAATTAAAAGGAAATAGCTTGTAGAGAAAGTTTTCTTCTTGTTTGACGTCCCCTATTGATTTGATTCTCTCCTTAGCAACGCAGTTTGCAAGTTTGGCTGTTAGATTAGCCCTCCGTGAAGAAATATGAATAATGATCATCCATGAAGTTTGACGACAAACTGAGCATGTGTATTCAGGCTTAATCTCTCTTCACGACAAGCCATCTCAGCAAGTATCATAATAATACGCTAATCAAAACCTTTATTTATTTTTAATAAAGGTTCACCATTTTCATAGAATATATAACAATAAGAAATTGGAATTCGGAAGCACTCCTTGAACCATTCGTTCCTAATACGGGTAAATTTTATTGAAGATGAGAATTGTACAGAGTGTACCCTTGGAAACAACCCACACCTCATCCAATGCTACAAACCCGTAACACAGGAAAAATGCTTAATTTATGTGGTAAATCTATATAAGCAATTCCTACCAAGGCTTCCTCGCATGGTACAAAGTGGTAACATTCACCAATATCATCAATCTTGATTATCCCATTTTAATTTTTCACTCCTTTTTATCTCTCTCTTTTCATCTATCATTTTCCCTTTTCTCTTTTTGTCTCTCTTCGCTTGGAGTCTATATATCTTAAGACATGTCAAATGATTATTATCCTACCAATATTTGGAATCATTGTATACATATATGCTTCAGTAAAAGGTCATAACTGTGAGATTTCAGGTGACTCCAATCTTATATATTCAGTTTGGCTAATTCATAATGCTTTTATGAGATATTCCAAACTACTTCAATGTCCACTTTTGAAATTTTCAGCATCATCGATACACCACATTCTTAAATATCTCATGTATATCTTGTGTAATAACGAGTGTAGATCATCATATCTATTATGAAGACATGAAGACCTTTGAAAATTGAAGTAAAAACCAGTGACTTGCCAAACGTAGTTTTCTTTATGCTTCTATATTCAAAATAATTTTCATTTGGTACTTTTTCATATGATAATTTGTATATGATTCTATTTGTTACTATACAGTCAAAAAGTGCGGCAGTTCACTCCTTGAATACCAAATTTTGGTTTCCGAGATAATATAAAATGTAAACTTGTAAAACCAATGGAAAATTATTTTGGTTAGAATTACGATATAATTTTGTTATAAATTCCGTATTTAACTAAGATGTTAATTAAAAGATGGAAACAGAGGGATCATTGTCTGTGGCTTATCTTCATGGAATCAAGTTTTAAGTTATCCATTTGTTTTCTTTTGAATTATATAATTTGTTTTGCTATAATGCAGCGGTAGCTGATTATTGTTTCAAAAGAATGTACAAGATTTTTGTACGCCATTAAAAACAAGTCAATATGTGTAGCGCATTTGTTGCAACATAGAATCATATGACATACGGATTGCCGTGCTGCAGGTTTTATGGCACCAGCACAACACAACTTTACAAAAGTTCAAGTGCTAAAAAACATTTCAATTTGGACAGATTATTTAAGGAGTCCAATCCAATGACTAACTGACAATATTATTCCCAATCTTCGTTAACCAAGTCAAAAAAGGAATACCATAAACAGAAGATTAGTATGTCTTCTCTTGTCGCTTATATGATTCTATTTAGATGTGGCAACAGGGAATGTGATAGCCTATGTCTTTTGACCTACCACCAATCACCATTACAATTTATATTATAAACCAAATGGTTGAATTAGCTCAACTAATTCGACTTTTCTGTTTCAATTAAAGGTTATTTATATATGCGTTATAATTACAATTGCAAGTGATGCCCATAACCAGTAACTAGGTACTAGTCCATGACATTATGACAAAGAACCATGAAACTACTGCCTCATGACGCGTAAATAGAGCTGTCATTTTTTTGGTTCAATGACCAAATGATGATCTATCCCGACCTATGAACTATACTTTTGCCAACTTGCAAAGGTCACACTCACCTTATCAAGTTTAATGGGGAGGGGCACTGACAAAGTGACAATATTCATCAGTACAACTGTGGAGTCAACAATAGCATTTATTATATAGTTCATTATTTCATATTTTGTATATGTTGTATAGTATTTGCTGCCAAAGGATCCATCATGAAAGTCAGGTTAAGTTCCTACGCATGCTTAGATTAATTTCTTGGCTGTTGCAATGAGCAAACCTTGCCACATTTTGTCCTTGTCTTTTTTTTTTTTTAAATCTATTTCAACGAGGCTCCATTGATTGCATCACCACTATCTTATTTAATTTAATTGATGCTTTTTTAAACTTTATGCAATTCGAACTATTAATACGGTCAAGTGGAATGAGAAGAAGAGAGCTTCATTAACCATTTGTTTATTTACAGTGACCCTCGGGAACATTGTAAGGGAGGGTGGAAGTGGGAGACAACTCCTGTCTTGTACCAAATAGCTGATTCTTCACGGCGACGCAGAGCCAGAGCTACAGATTCTTCCCAACCCAAGCATTAATTTCTGGATTTTTTTTAATTGTATTTTCAAATCTGCAATGGATCTTGTAATGTTTTGGAATTGAATTAGGATGCATAATGTTATTGTCATTTTCCCATCTCAGCAATGGGGCTTACCAAATTCTCATAAGTGTGACTTTGGTACTATAGCTAACTTTGGCTCAAATTATCAAAAGGTCATTTTCTTATTCAATTTGAGGCATGTGGGGGGAACGGTTGCAGCGTTTTAAAGGTTAGACTATTCTCGAATCATTTTTATAGTCTCCAGCTGTTCTAACATGACTACAAACTTTTTAAGAGGCAAGAGGCTTCTATGAACTATCGGTACATTACAAGTATGTTCTGTGCTTATATAAATTTAATGTAATAAATTAATTATATTTTTAAAATTTTAAACATGTGTAGAAAATACTGTGGTTATTTATTTCATACACATACGTATCTTTCCGAAGTCGTTCTTCTTAGAGGATAGTAGGTGTTGGGTGGAATGAATTCAATTTGGGAACATGGAGTGTCCGAAATCTAAGACCACAAAGTTCTTACCTTTTATGCATTCTCACTTTGTTGAAAATAGAAAATAACATGAGTTATATATTATTTTTTTTCCAATCTATTCCTCCGGAAGGACGCAATAGGAGGAAAGGGAATCGGTTCCTAATTCGAATTGATCCACACCAAACTTTCCCAAATCATATCCAAAATTCTGCAGCACCTATCCCTTTCGTGATACCAGGAACAAATATCATTTAGCTGGTGCCAATGTGCCATCCACAAGAAAGCAATCCCAAGAATGATTCTTCTTCTGGAAGTATGCCTCTTTCGTGCAGTGTCCTATGCTCTCTGCTTCTGCTTTCGCATGCAGATTAGTGCTTAAAAAGTAGTTCCTTTTTGCCACTACTCTTCCAACTTTTTCTTTCTCATAGTAACCAACGCCCCTCTTCCACTGAATAGTGAAAATCCCAAAAGATGAGCCTTTTAATTACTACAACAAAGAGAACCGCGTGAGTTCCAACTTATTGCCCGTGTGCTTCCAACTTATCACCGTTTCCATGCACGAAGAAGAATAGGAAGAGCTCTCTCCGTGATTACCTTTCTTCACTCACGCGGTTAGGCATTGACTCATACAAATTACAAAACAAGGTCCCTACAAATTCAAGCATTCTCATATCTCACCCTCACAAAAGCAAAGCTTTGTTCGCTTCGTTCTCTTAAAAAGTGTAGAAGATGCTACAACTCGGTCTCAATTTCTTTCCCCTTTTAGTACTATGTTTACTAAGCTCAACTCAAGGGGTGTCCCTAGAGAGTCAGTCTCAAATTCTTCTTGAGGTTAAGAACACTCAACTTGAAGACAAAAACAAGAGTCTCAAAAACTGGGGGTACCACAACCCATGTAACTGGACCGGCATTACCTGCGACACACGAAACCAATCAATTGTGTCAATTGACCTATCCGAGATTGGAATTTACGGCGAATTTCCCTTCGGTTTCTGTCGCATTCACACACTCCAAAACCTTTCTCTCGCATCCAACTTTCTCGGCAATGCCATCTCCCCCAACTCTCTGCTCCTCTGTTCCCACCTTCGTCTCTTGAACCTCTCCGACAATTACTTCGTCGGAGACTTACCAGAATTCCCACAAGAGTTCACTCAACTAAGAGAACTAGACCTCTCCAGGAACAACTTCACCGGCGATATTCCGGCGAGTTTTGGGCAGTTTCCGCAACTGAGTGTGCTCCTTTTATTCGGAAACCTTCTCAGCGGAACAATCCCTTCATTTTTAGGCAACCTCAGTGAGTTAACTCGTTTGGAACTCGCTTATAACCCCTTCAAACCAGGACCTTTACCTCCCCAGCTCGGAAACCTTTCAAACTTAGAAACTCTGTTCCTCGCCAATGTAAACCTCGTAGGAGACATCCCACACTCCATTGGAAATCTTATCTCCCTCAAGAACTTAGATTTGTCTCAAAACTCCTTGACAGGTAACATCCCAAGCAGCATTTCGGGTCTGAAAAACGTGCAACAAATTGAGCTTTTCCAAAACCAGCTTTCTGGTGAACTGCCCCAAGAGTTAGGAAACCTCAGCAGTTTAGTTCGTTTGGACCTCTCTCAGAACGGCTTCACCGGAAAACTACCAGACACGATTGCTTCATTGAATCTCTGTTCTCTCAACTTGAACGATAATTTTCTAAATGGAGAAATCCCACTAAGTTTAGCTTCAAACCCGAACCTGCAGCAACTTAAACTCTTTAACAACAGCTTTACTGGGAAACTTCCACAAGATCTTGGGCGAAACTCTGCCGTAGAGGATCTCGATGTCTCAACCAATGACTTCATAGGAGAGTTGCCAAAGTACCTCTGCCAAAGGAACAAGCTTCAGCGTCTCGTCACGTTCGCGAATCGTTTCTCTGGAACGCTCCCTGATCAGTACGCCGAGTGTGATTCCCTACAATATGTCAGAATCCAGAACAACCAACTCTCCGGCCAGGTGCCACCAACGTTTTGGACCCTTCGTGGGCTTCAGTTTCTTGAAATGGCCAACAACAGGTTCCAAGGTTCAGTCTCTGTTTCCATCTCCAATGCCAAGGGACTCACCAAACTCCTCTTATCTGGTAACAGCTTTTCCGGTCAGTTCCCAACGGGAATCTGTGAACTCGATCAGCTCGTGGAGATTGACGTCAGCAAGAACCGGTTCTCCGGTGAAGTTCCCACGTGCATAACCGGATTGAGAAAGTTGCAGAACCTTAGAATGCAGGAAAACACGTTCACCGGCGAAATTCCCAGTAACGTGAGCTCCTGGACTGACATGACGGAGTTGAACTTGTCACATAACCAATTCTCCGGTTCTATCCCACCGGAACTTGGTAACTTGCCGGATTTAACATACCTTGATCTCGCCGTTAATTCGCTGACAGGGGAGATTCCGGTGGAGTTAACGAACCTAACGCTGAACCAGTTCAATGTCTCAGATAACAAGTTGTATGGAGAGCTTCCTTCGGGTTTCAACCACCAAGTTTACTTGTCGGGTCTAATGGGAAACCCGGATCTGTGTAGCCGGGTTATGAAAACCCTACCTTCTTGTTCCAAACGCAGACCCTTTTCTCTCGTTGCTATTGTCGTTTTAGTCGCTTGCGTTGTGCTCCTTGTGGGGTCCTTATTGTGGTTCCTGAAGAGCAAGTCGCTTGCTCTTGGTGGCAAATCCAAACGCTCCTTTATGACAACCGCGTTCCAAAGAGTGGGTTTCAATGAAGAAGACATGGTTGGAAACTTAACCAGCGAGAACGTTATTGGCATGGGAAGTTCGGGTCGGGTCTATAGGGTGGAGCTGAAGACAGGGCAAAGAGTGGCAGTGAAGAAACTGTGGGTTGGTACACAAAAGCCTGATATGGATTCTGTGTTCAGGTCCGAGATTGAAACGTTGGGTAGGATCCGGCATGCTAATATTGTGAAACTGTTGTTTAGTTGCAGTGCTGATGAGTTTAGAATATTGGTGTATGAATACATGGAGAATGGGAGCTTAGGGGATTTGTTGCATGTTGAGGACAAGTATGTGGAGTTGATGGATTGGTCTAGGCGATTCAGAATTGCTGTGGGTGTGGCTCAAGGGTTGGCTTATTTGCACCATGATTGTGTGCCCGCCATTGTTCACAGGGATGTGAAGAGTAACAACATATTGCTGGACCATGAGTTTTCGCCTCGTGTAGCAGACTTTGGGCTAGCTAAGACTTTGCAGCGTGAGGCCAGCCAGGGTTCCATGTCAAGGGTTGCTGGATCGTATGGTTATATTGCTCCAGGTCAGTTTCTTTTCTTCTTCTTTTCTCATTATCTATGAAAAAAGATTTGGAGGTATATCCATCAGATATTTTGCTCTACCATAAAAACAAGCAACCGAAGCGGGTCCAAAGAGGAAGCATTTGGTTTCCACCTCTTGGTTTTTAAAATAAAGTCAAACTAGATAGCAAGAAAAAAAAAAGATAAAGAAATGCATAGTTGCACCTGCATTTAGGGATCCAGATAAAGAAAGAAGAATCTGTGATTAATTTAGATGATTGAGATGGGTGTGGATGTGTGAATCTGGGTGGATGTCATCTAAAGTTTAAGCAACAATTATGGCTACTTAATTTACTAGAACATATTTTGAAAATCTTGATTGCTAATATCTACCTAATTGATCCAATTGCAGAGTACGCTTATACAATGAAAGTGACTGAGAAGAGTGATGTCTATAGTTTTGGGGTGGTGTTGATGGAATTGATCACCGGCAAGAGGCCAAATGACTCTTCATTTGGTGAGAACAAGGATCTGGTGAAATGGGTCACTGAGAATGTTCTATCAACATCTCCTAAAGGAGGAAGTGGCAATATTGGAGAAAGTAATATTATGACCCAGGTGGTGGACCCAAGAATGAACCCAGAGACTTGTGATTATGAAGAGGTTGAGAAGGTTTTAAACGTGGCCCTACTTTGCACCTCAGCGTTTCCCATTAATAGACCCACAATGAGAAGGGTAGTTGAATTGCTCAAGGACCATAAACTGTCAGGTCCCAAGTCATGATGCTGTGTTGGGTTTCCCAGGCTCTCCACGGAGGGACCCAAATTTTGTATTGCAGTAGTGGTAGGCACTACATGAAAGCGATTGATGGCACTGTATGCAAGAAACTTAAAGAGGAATTTTTGAACATATTTATTATTAAGGATTGAATAACTCTTATGAGTGCTTGTTTAGTTAGTCATTATATGTAAATCTTCTTGTACATATGATGCTTCTTGAATCCTGTCTTGATCAAAGTAAAAGTAAGTAGTCAATTGAAAAGTATCGCCACTCTATACTGAAAAGGAATACTCTCCTGCATATATATATATATATATCTTTATGTGTTGTCCCTTTCCTTTTCTTTTTCTTTATCTTTTCTGTTTTTATGTTTTCTCTCCCTCTGTTTTTTTTTCTTAATCTGATTTTGGTGCATAACTGAAAAAAGAAAGGTTGAGCAGGTGCTAAGGATAAGCATTTAGACCTGGCTTGCATCCTTTAATGATACAGTATCACTCATCTGACCCACACATGCATGATTCACGGTCATATGTCAAGTGTTAGATTGTCACATTGCTACTTGACATATATTATCATGAGTTTTGCTAATTAAAACTGAGGTGTTGGAGTATTTATTCGAGATTACTACTAGAGACTAGAATTGCAGTAAGCTTTTGAAAGTTCCCCCCCAAAACAATGAAAGCATACGATTGCTTTGATATGGTAAAATATTTTTCCTTATGAATGCTTGATTTCCAAGCAAGAGTTGTTCCACTAGAAAAAAGCTGCAGTTGTCGAGACTTGAAGGCAAGTGGGTATTGATGGAGAAGGTCCATCTCACATGCGATTCTGAAAATATGGAGAGAATGGTTCTTTAATTAGATTGATGAAAAATCCATCTTCTGAAGCATTGTGTGGCATCCATTAGAAAAGTGTTACAAGCCCAGCCATTCTCATAGGCTCACAGCATGTGATATGTAGATCCTTATCATCTCCTTTTCATTTTAAGAAAAGGACAATTTTTTTTTTTTCACTTGACTACGATAAGTGACTGACTATGCAATATTTATGATGCAACGATGTCAACTGTGTTTTCCTCAAATGTAGACTCAGTGGAGAGGTTATAACAAGAGACTAGTGTCATAACAGTGTACATCTCAATATAATATAAATAAATTTCAGAAAACTAAAGTCATATAGTATTTTTGAGTATTATCCCCATGATATGGTACTTTTAATATGTTAAGATTAATATTTATATTTATATATATATATATATATATTTAAAAAATATATAAAAATATTAATTATCACTTTTTAGTGTTTAAATTTTATAAAAAATAAGATAATAAACTGTTACAATTTACTAAAAAAAAATAAACTCTCCCTTACCTTATAAACTAAAATACTTTTGGTGCTTCCTTAAATTAAACTAATTACATATAAACTTGTGTATATAATAATTTATGTTACTTTTATACAAAGATACTTACTGATAAATTTTAATTTCTCATGAATGTATACACATGTACGTTTGCATGTCCACATACACCTACGAAAAATTAAAATCATTAGAAGCATTTTATGGATTATTTTAAAGTTTGGATAAAATTATATTAAAAAAAATTAACAAACAATTTGAGTTAGGAACACATTTGTTACTTGATGAACTTGATTGTTGTGCACATATATATAATAAACATTTTTATAATTTAAGTTTAAAAATAAGTAATAAATAATTTTAAGTGTATTTTTTTGGCTTTTTTTAATGAAAAAATTACCAAAATATGATATTTTTAGCAAAATTACAAAAATATAAAAAATTATTTTAAAAAATACCATTGATGAGTTTTAATTTTTTATTTTTTTAAATTGTTATTAGCAATTTTTTATACTATTCATTTTTATTCTTTTATTTTTGAAGTTCTTTTAAGTTATTTTTGTATTTTTTAAAATATTATATTTCAGTATATATTATTTTTGAGTACCACGTATAAATATTTTCTTGTAACTCAATTATTTGGCTCGATCCAACATGGATCTTTATTTAGTTGGTTTAAAGAAGTATTTAATTAAATTATATATTTAAATACAACTTTCTCTAAAATTATTTAAATACCTTAATTAAGTATATTATATATATATATATATATTATTGAATGATTATCAATTCTTAAAAATTTATTATTATATATTTTTATATAATAAAATATTTATAGTAAATTTTTTAATAATTATCATTTTTCTTATAATTTTTGTAAAAAAATACCTTCATAAAGTTTTGTTAATCATTGTATAAAAAGTATTGATAAAAAAAATAAAAGCATTCTTTTGTTAAAAATTACATGAATAATATTTTGAAAAATAAGAATGTATTATTATATTCATTAAAACAATTTAAAATTAATATCTTAAAAATATTGGTTGTTATTCAGTTATTTTTATATCTTATAGTGCTGTTTTTCATAATATTATAAAAGGTAGTGATTTGAAAATGACACAAAAGCATTTATTATTTTGATTTTGAATTTTGAAATTTGAATGCGATGAAATAACCGTTACACCCTGTTCGAAATCCTGAAACCCCAAATAATAATCTATCTGTCTGAATCTTAATTTAGAAAGGGGCATAACCGGCCATTGCAAAGATGGGTATCCACGTGGAGGTTGGTCAGTCACAAAGAGCGCATTAAATGTGGAGGAATGAGGGTAAAATTGGAAGGAAAAAGTTTCACGTTTCCCCAGTGGCATAGAAAAGGCAAACAAAGTTAACCGCAGTTAAATTTTAAACCTCCACTGACCCACTCGTTTTCTTTTTTCAGTTCAATTCCCGAATCCAGACCTATAAAGAAAGAAACCAAGCGACTCAAACAGAACAGAACCCAAACCCACCAGAGAGAGGCGTCTTAATAAACGCTAACTCTGTTCTCTTCTTCTTCTTTCTATCTCAAATCTTTCTTGTTCTTCTCCTCAACTGCGAATATGAGAGAGTGCATCTCCATCCACATTGGTCAAGCCGGCATTCAGGTCGGAAATGCTTGCTGGGAGCTTTATTGCCTCGAGCATGGCATTCAGGTATTTCCCTCTCAAATTTCAATATATCCCTAATTTCTCCCCCATTTTCATTTATCCGATTGCGCTTTTGCCCTTGCTTCGCAATCTAAGTGTTCAGTTTTCTATGGCATTGCAATCTTGAAAGATTACTGTCGATTCTGAATCTAGCATCTACACCTTTCACACGGAATTTCAGATCCAACGTGCAAGAGTTGCTATTCTTTTGCCATTAAATCAAGTTCAGTTGATATTACTAATTAAATAACGGATAATGTAGTGCTCTTTTTTACGTTTTTAAATAATGCATAATTTGAATTGTGTTGGTTATGAACACAAATCTGGTCGATTCAGTCTGGATCCGCTTTGATATGACGTTCTTCTTTCTTCGATCAACAGCAATGCCTTCGTAACTATCTTCACTTAAAGATTTAAAATCCATGCGCGTTCTTTTTGGCCAATCTTCGTAGATGTTGTTAATTTAAAAACTAGCTTGAGTTTTCTTTTACAATGAAGTGGATCTTGAACGTTCTTGTGTGGTTTCGTAGCCTGATGGCCAGATGCCAAGCGACAAGACCGTTGGTGGAGGAGACGATGCTTTCAACACTTTCTTCAGCGAGACTGGTGCAGGAAAGCACGTACCTCGTGCAGTTTTTGTAGATCTTGAGCCCACTGTCATTGATGAAGTTAGGACTGGCACATACCGCCAACTATTCCATCCTGAGCAGCTCATTAGCGGAAAGGAGGATGCAGCAAACAACTTTGCTCGTGGCCACTATACAAGTAGCGTTTTTGCCCCTTGCATTTGATAAAACGTGCTTCTTCTTTCACTGTGTCGGATTTGATTGTATTATATCAACGTTTTCTCACTGTTATTTTTTAATTCAGTTGGGAAAGAGATTGTTGATCTTTGCTTGGACCGTATCAGAAAGCTTGCAGACAATTGCACTGGTCTCCAAGGTTTTCTGGTGTTCAATGCTGTGGGTGGTGGCACTGGCTCTGGTCTTGGTTCCCTTCTCTTGGAACGGCTTTCGGTGGACTATGGCAAGAAATCTAAACTCGGTTTCACTGTCTATCCTTCGCCTCAAGTTTCAACCTCTGTTGTTGAACCCTACAACAGTGTCCTATCCACTCATTCCCTATTGGAGCACACGGATGTGGCTGTGTTGCTTGACAATGAAGCCATATATGATATTTGCAGGCGATCCCTTGACATTGAGCGACCCACCTACACTAACCTTAATCGCTTAGTTTCTCAAGTATGTTGTTGTTTAACATATTTCAAGCCTTGAAGGAAAATTATGGTTTATCATTTTGTCTCATGAGATCACGTCCTGACTTTCTTTTGATTATATTTTCAGGTGATATCATCTCTGACTGCCTCTCTGAGGTTTGATGGTGCCTTGAATGTTGATGTTACTGAATTTCAGACTAACCTGGTACCATATCCTAGGATTCACTTCATGCTTTCATCCTATGCTCCTGTGATTTCGGCTGAGAAGGCATACCATGAGCAACTGTCGGTTGCAGAAATCACAAATAGCGCATTTGAGCCATCCTCTATGATGGCTAAGTGTGACCCTCGCCACGGCAAATATATGGCTTGCTGTTTGATGTACAGAGGTGATGTGGTCCCTAAAGATGTTAACGCAGCTGTAGCTACTATTAAGACCAAGCGCACTATCCAATTTGTTGACTGGTGTCCCACTGGATTCAAGTGCGGTATCAATTATCAGCCACCAACTGTTGTTCCAGGGGGCGATCTTGCCAAGGTGCAGAGGGCAGTGTGCATGATCTCAAACTCCACCAGTGTTGCGGAGGTTTTCTCACGCATTGACCACAAATTTGACCTTATGTATGCCAAGAGGGCATTTGTGCACTGGTATGTTGGTGAGGGGATGGAAGAGGGTGAATTCTCCGAAGCCCGTGAGGATCTTGCTGCCCTTGAGAAAGATTATGAAGAGGTCGGTGCTGAGGCCACAGAAGGTGACGAAGGCGAGGATGGAGACGAGTATTAGGAACTTTGCATGTCAGTCTAACCTTTGTTGTTATTTTTTGTACGTTGCCATTAATGTTTTATTTTCTCTCGGTTGCCATCTTGGTGTTGTTTGCATGAATGGCGGTTGTCCATATGGTGGAGCATGCTCTGTTCCAGCACTAAACAACTTCAGTGATATGATTGTGGCTCTTTTGTTGTGAATTGAAAGGTTTATGTTATGCGCAGTAATTGATTGTCTTTGCGATTGCGAACTTATTATGCGCATTTGCATTTTAAAATGAAATCATGAGCTATCAAACACGTGCTGGTACGTAGTTAGAGAATGCGTTGGAAAAGGGTCTCTTTTGTTTAAGCACACAACCAAAAATATTAGCTTACGCAGGTTGGGGCGGTCTTCCATGCGTTGATGTTCTTCTACAGTGTTGCTTCCATAGTCCTGAAACAATTAAGATTAGAAAATTTGAAAAGAAACTTGAACAAAACAAAATGGTGCTTTATCATGCATGGGGAAAGGATGTAAACTACGTCGTTGCAAGCTGTCTTTTGCTAACTCATTCTTGCGATATTTTCCTCTATCATTAATGTCAGTGCAACAGAATAATGAGAAAGAAGAAAGAGATAATGAAAAGAAAAGATGGGAAAAAAAAAGAGACAAAATAATATATATAATATAAATATCACGTTGAATTCAATCATGGGAATACTACAATAAAGCCTCTAAACATCCTTGCACCTTCCCTCTTTGTAGAGTTAAAATTTGCAAGTGTAGGATTTCAAGATATTGGGGGAAAATATTCTGCAATCTGAACAGACGCATAGTGCATAATTCTAGGAAAATGTGTAAACGCAAGGGCAACTAGCATAATTTGCCATTTGATAATATGCGGACCAATTAAATTCCATTGAATATATTAGCTGTGACGAATGTCACAAATATATATAAATACCAGTGTAGCCCGTGTGACGTTACAAGCTTGAACGAGGGACAAAATTCAATCAAACCTTGACTCCTTGGTTAGTCACAGAACAGTGCCCCCTTTTTTTTTTATGGGTTTTGATCGTAGCAAACAGAAAAACTAGTCTTCGGCGAACACAGTAGCAGAGAAAAAAAGCTGTAGATACTCGTGCAATTCTCAGGGTTAGAGGTTGAAGAAAACTCGAGGCTTTTCATCTCCTAAGCTTATTTACAGCTTCGCACCTAATGGGTGTCCCTGCATTCTAGGTTCTTGCTGCAGCACTCACTTGTATAGTTATACCCCTCACTGTAAGGAAGGTTTCAAGCAAAAATAATCGTTTGGTTATTTTTATTAAAACATATGGAAAACAAAACGAAGGATCAGACACCCTGTTTCGCTTGTAATCAAGAATCTCAGACAAATGATGAACCTCAGGTATGGAACTCGCATTTTTGTTTGTTCTGTGGAAGTAATCAAACTTTTGTGGCTTAAAAATTTCAGCTTCTTTTGAAGCCAAATTTTTGTTTTTATTTTTTCCTGCTCTTTTGTTTTTTCACTTGTACCCATTTCTTTTTCCCTTTTCTGGGTACATTCCATGTTTCTGCCACCACTTTAACCGTGTTTATGTGCCCCTTTTTGTTAGGGGGTTACAAGTGAGTAAGTGGCTTTGTTCGCTGAATTATAAATATTTTAATATCATCGTTTGAGAAGCAAAAATTACTTAACTGGCAGGAATATTAGTCTTCGAATAAGATGATAAGGAGTAGCTTGAAAACCTCACATATGAAGAAGCAAGGAAACTTATATATTGCAATTTATGTTGTTATATATTCCATTTCGCTTTGTTATGATGAATATGATGATTATCAGAACAAACAAAACGAAGCACAACCCAATGTGATTCTTGGTCCAAGTGCCAAAATTACTAGTCCTTCACATGGCAGTGTGCCTAACTCAAATCATCAACAACAACAACCTCCAATTGTGCAATGGCCCTACACTCCTCAAAATGCTACAGAACAGTTCTTGGCAATGCACTTTCCCATCCAAGCACCATCACCTGGTGCCTTAAATCAGTGGCAGCAGTTTCTACATCTGCAGCAAGGTCAGGTATTAGCACAGTCAACACCACCCTTTTGGCAGCCTCGACCGCATGTTGCCGGTGGTCCATCACTTGGAGTAAGTATCCCTACCATAGGAGCTTCCCCAACTACCCAGACTGGAGTTCCCAATATCTATTACCCCGTTGGATACACATTTCCTGGCTTTTCAGGTGAGTATGCAACTTTTGCTCTTGATGTGACAGCAGCATGCTTTAGTTATTTTAGAGTTAGTTCGGATGCGTATTTTACCAAATGCAATAGATATAGGAGTGTTATTCCCCCTGATTTCTTCGGATTGTAAGCAGAGTATATTTGAATTGAATGTATGTCTTTGAACATAGAACACAGGGATATTTCAAACCTTAAAAAATTGTAGGACTTGATAATAGAGCTATAATGCAACATATAAAGTTAGCAGAAAATTAACATAAAACAAAAATATTATGAAGGGCATGAGTCATTGTAGAGAACTATACATAATAAAATACTATAATTTGTCTAATTATTGTGATATTCTCATTGTTTTGGTATAAGATTTTAACAAATAAAAGTAAAAGAAATGTAAAATACACCTGGATGCATTCAAAGTGTTCAATTTGGATGGATGCATGTATATACCTATCTTGGATCTTGGACCCAGCTACTATTTTGAAGTGCATGTGCTTCCTTGTGCAGTAAGCATATAGTTTATTTAAGCTATAACATACAAAGGGATACCTTGTTTACAGGTCCTTGGGATCCATCTTCTTGCTTGGGTCAATTGTACCAAATGCAGCATCCTTATGTTTATAGTTTTCCTGGTGCACTTTCCTTTTCTTCAGCAACTCCTGGGATGCCCGACTGCTCAGCTTATGGAGAGCATTCTTTCCAAAGAGGAATCATCAGGCCAATTGAAAAACTTTCTCAGAAGCACCAACAACTTTGGGTTGCTCAGGTAAATACTTCTCCCCAACTCACACACTCAGATTTTGTTCATTATGATTTTATTGCCTTGACTACAAACATGAACAAAATTATTCTCGTAGTCAATGGAGAATGTTCAGCTGTGGAGTGAGATAAATAAATTGCAAGCTGAAGTTTCTGATTACAAAGATCGGCTCAAGAAGCTTGAAGAAGTCTCGTGCCTAAAACAGAAAGCGGAAGTGCCCACTAACAAAGTTATTGGGCCGATAAGAACAGGACAACCAAAAAAGAGAGGGAGGCCGAAGCGATCATGCGTCTCGTTGAAAGCATTACGTGAGTCTCACCCCCAAGCTGGCAGTAGAAAGCCTGCACTAATTAACACTCAATTTGAGAGTAAATCACCCATCTTTGAAAAGGTTGTCCTTAAAAAACTGGAAAATAAAGAAATAGCAATTCGTTCTACTCCAACAACGTTGCAGCGAGATAACAATGAAAAGATCTTAAATGCTGTTAAAGATGTGAGCTGCAACATCCAGATCAATCAAAGAAACCCAATTATGTCTTCACACCAAGGCCAAGTTCACCAGGAATACCAGGGAATCCAAGTGCGTGGAAGTGGGCCTGCCTCTCTGGGAGTAAATGTTAATTTTGGAAGGGATAGAGATAAAGACTTGAAACTTGCTTACTGTGAACCATCACAATCAGATAAAGTGTTGAATGACAGCATGGGTTGTGTTTCAGCCAAATATTTTGAAAATACTAATAATGGGAATCTTGGGTTGACTTCTAGCATAGACACTGCAAATGATGTGTTAGATATAGCCCGTCAAAGTATTTTCCACAATGGCAATTTCATGCGGCAAGGAGGAAACATAACTACTGCATGGAATGTTGCAAACGAAGAGAATGCTTCAGAAGGGGTGGAAGATGCTGTTGTAGGATCAGGCAAAGATGGAAATGAAGAAGAAACAGGGGACTACACTAGCTCCACTGCTGAAGAAATTGGTCTATTAAAAGACATAAGTGGCTGCACCATGAATAATGCCATATCAACTAGTCCAAAAGCCCTCTCTCCCCTTAACAATTGGTACTAGCATTTTTACAAGTGTTTTGCTTTTTGTCATCTCACAATAGATTTACTGGGTAATGGGACAATTCTGCTCAATTGGGATAAATCTTCTAGCTAGGTGAAGAAGGTTTACAATGAATTTTGGTACAGAGCAGTGTGTAGATTTTTGTTAATATTTGCCTTACCGTTCAAAGAATTCCACGGTTTGTCGTTTGGAGTAGTTTGTCTATGCTGTTACCAAATAGAAAATTTGCGATTGTTTTGTTATAAAAATATTATTTAAAAAATAGATTTGAAAATCAGCACCAAAACTGAAATATATGTTAATATCAAATAATAATTTAAAAAAATTGTTTTAGCTGCATATAACAAGGGAAGAAGGAGCCACGCACGCGTGGATGCTGTCAGCCATATGAATGAGTTTATTTTTATAGAAAATTTCTCTCAATCTTCTTTTGTTACATAATTTAGTTAATCATTTTTTCTCTTTGAAAAACACAGCAAATTATTGTTCAAATAGAATTTTCTTTGCATATTCATTCATACTTATTTGTTGGCACTTTCCAGCTGACAACAACATAGAAAATGATAAGCTAGTAAAATTCACTGTGTTCCAATAAATATACATTCATACTCCCATACTAGTAAAATAGGTGTCAGAATAATCAATTCTAAATTAACCGCGGCTACTTATATTTTGAATGAATATTCACATGTATATAGGGATAAAACTGATATAACAGGAACATAACGAATAAAAATTAATGATTGAAGAAATACCAATGACATGACTCCATGTACCACAATAATACGAGAAAAAGAATATCCTTATCACTTTTTCCTATGATATGAGAAAAAGAAATTGGTGTACAAAATACGTGGGTGATGGCATTGTTCATGATGCCATAACAACTAATTGGTCATAGTATTTATACAATCGTCTTGCTTCTAGTTCCCTCGCAATAGATTAACAGTGTGTAGATTTCCATTAACCTTTTGCCGTATTATTCAAGGAATTCCATGCGGTTTGTATGTGATTTATATATGCTATAACCAATAGAATAGTGATCATTTGACAAAAGGGGTGTATATAGCACAAGTGGGAAGAGGAAAAGAAATAGTGATTATTTTATAATAAATATTTTATTTAAAAGTTAGGTCTGGAAATAAATAAATGCAGCACAAAAATTGAAATACATCCTGTCAAGCTAATACAATAATGATTTTTTTAAGACTTCAATATATTTTTAGTCTTTGTAAATACTTTTTTATTCATTGATTTTAATCTTCATAAATTTTATAGCTTTTGAATATATTCCTATCACTGCTTAATTTTATATAAGTATTAATTATTTAATATTTATATGTTTAAAGGGTAAAAGTAGACTACGACCCTGTTGGTTTTATTATTATTATTATTATTATTTGAGGAAGGACCGACTAAACGGGACTTAAATTATTGGATGAAGTCAACAATTTGTATGGACATGACTCGAACTATAGTATGAGTTAAACGCAGCGACAAATTTTCACTTTCAGAAAACAAGTTTATCGTTTAATGGTCAGATACTTAAATAATTAAAAAAAACAATATTTTAAAATCTGAATGAATAAAAATAATATTTATTCGTAAATTTTTAAGATCAAAATTATAGTAATATTTTAGAATAAACATATTTACTTGATTTTCTCAAAAACTTGATTGTTAAATATTTAATATGAACTTTTACTACAGGTGTCAATATGATCCAATAGCGTGCCTTGCTACAACCCGACGATATTAATTGGGCTGAGTTGGGTTAATTAGGTATGGGTTAAACAAGGTGGCCCATAATTTTAAAAAATATTATTTTGAAATTACATTAATAATATACTTTTTAGTAACAAAAAATATAATTATTAGCATATATACGATAATTATATAAAATTATTAATTTTCTATAGTATTCTAATATTATTATACTTAGACAATAACATATTTTGTATCAATATTTTTTACTTATCTACTTCTATATATAAATTATGAGTTATAACTTATGACTTGTCATTAAAGTTTAATTTATTTAAAAAATAAAAAAGTTTGATACCCAACCATTTAAAAATGTTTTCGAATCGGTTTAATTAATTCTCATCAATTTTAAACTCAGTTAATTTTTGGATTTGAACAGATCATATACTTAATTGATTCTCCATCCAGTTGATAAGACTATACATCTAATTTCTAAAATAATAGTTATAACTTAACTAGTCAGCGATAATTTCTAAGAGTGTATAATGTATTTATACAACTCATACATGAGCTTTAGGAAAACTTTTTTTTTCAAGTCTCAATCTAGTATAAATCATCTATCTTTATTTTATTTTTAAATAATTTTTTAACTGTAAGAACATTAATCAAAGTTTTATAATCCATAAATTTTAATAATCCACCTTCTAATTGTAAATAAAATTTAAGTAAAGAATTCTTTTAGCAGTAACAACAATTATAAGAGTAATTATTAATATTTTATAAGCGCCATTTAAAAATAATAATTCTTTTAACATAGTTTAATACTTCTAATAAGACTTTGATTTCCGTTGTGAATATTTCTCTCAATACCTTTAATCATGGAAAAAAAATTATGACCATCAACATCAAATTAATACCCATCATTAAAACCTATTTTTCTCAATATATATAATTTATTCTCATTTAATATTTTCATTTTTTAAGCACTCATTTAATATTTTCAACAGTTGGGATTCAAATAAAAAAAATGGTGCTTGTCGTTATAAATAAATACTTAAAAAGTTCATATTCTAAAAGTTATTCACATCACTGAGTTAGTTTAATATGTATATAAAATTATCAAAACTAAAAAACTAATCTTCAATTAAGTGCATGATATTATCACTAATAAATTTTTTCATCAAAATGTCTTTAATTTTCTTTGAATCACACGATTTTCTCGACATATAAGTTCTATCTTCATTTTGATAACTTTTTTTTTCCTCTTGAATTTCAAAATAAATGCAAAATTATTTTCTCTATAACTTTTTAAAAGAGTAACTAATAAGACGTCTTTAATGATTTACAATATGAACATACATTTATTATATTACATAATCTTATTAATGAATTAATAACAATGTAATTATTTAATTACATGATACGGGTACAATTATTAATTAGATGGAATAATTAGGAGGTGAGGAAAAAATAATTTTCACATGTAGATATGAAGAGATGAGGTACATTTCATGAACAAAAACGTATATTGCAAATGTGGTTTTGCAATGTCATTTTCGGAAACATTTTTGCAAAAACTATGAAAAAGAAAAAAGTTTAATTACATATCTAATGCATGAGTACATCCCAATCTTCTCCTTGGTCCCGCTATAGAAATTCGTAACAGGGAGGGGAATCATTTATCATTAAATATTAAAAAGCTACCAATGGACATTATATTATATGATTTACAACCTTTCCTATTGGCACTGTTTTACCTAAAGAGGACGACCGTGGGGGTGAAAATAAGAAAATGTTAACATGCCAATAAAAGATTAACACGTGGGTTAGTGACAACATGACTACGCTACAACCCCATAGAGATAAACATACCCCTACACGTTAAAATAACAAAATGATAATCCTTAAAAAGAGTCAAACTCTCTCTCTCTACATATATATCTCTCCCGAGTGTTGAGTATATCTACGTAACGCAATTACTGATTATTCTGTTTTGATTCCGTTCCATTCCCAATACAAATTACAGATACCATCAATTTTCAATTTTGAAATTACAATATTCATTCACTTAGAGAGAGAATAGAGAATGGCTGAAGAACAGGACGGTGGAAGAGTGAAATCGAAGCCTCCAAGGCCCAAACCAATATGCTTCTCATTCGCAGCATACACTAACAACCTTCTACACACACTCAAATCATCCAACGTTGTAATAGACAAAGGACTCTCCGACGCAGAATTCTCAAACCTTCAATCAAACTTCAATTTCTCATTCCCACCGGACCTACGCGCCATCCTCCAACAGGGCCTTCCCATCTCAACGGGCTTCCCAAACTGGCGTTCCTCTTCATCGCAACAACTCCAAATTCTCCTCAGCCTTCCAACCTCATCAATTCTCCGTCGGGTCTCCAAAACCCGCTTCTGGCACCCTTCGTGGGGCCCCGAACCGCGCGACCCGACCCACGCCCTGAGCCGCCTCTTGAACGAAGCGCCGCCGCTCGTTCCAATTTACCGGCATTGCTATATGCCTTCTTCCCCCAACGTCTCCGGTAACCCCGTTTTTTACATCGATCACGACGGCGATGTCCGGTTGCTGAGCTTCGACGTGGCCGGATTCTTCCGGGAGTTTTTGTGCCGGCAACCGGAGGAGCCGGTGTGGGCTGCGACGAGGGCGAGGAGGATAAAGTTCTGGTCGGAGCTGGCGGAGGCGCGTGGGGGGAGGTGGTGGTGGCGCGTGAAGGGGGAATTGGGAGGGTGCTTGGAAGGGGTGGTGTGGAGGTTGAAGGAGGGGGGGTGGAGGGAAGAGGAGATACGCGAGATGATGATGGTGACGGTGATGGATGACTATGATAATGATGAAGAGGAAGAAGAAGAGAAGAAACAAAAGTGTGAAGTGAAAGACAAAGAGTCTTTGGCGTGGCACGTGAGAGTGTTGTCGTCGATTTTGCTGCGTGCGGGGTGGAGCAGGGAAGACGTGTTGTACTCGCTTGGAGTCGTTGCTGGCGAAGGAAAATCGTGGTTGGAATTCCATCAGCCAAAACCCACCGTCAACATCAACGCCCTCTAGAAATACACTTATTTTATACACTGCAAATACAAATTGAAACATAAATTACAGAATAAACACAGGATATTATTTTTTGTATGCATAATTTTAGAGGCAATGTACAATTGCTACTCATGTTTCTCACTTTCTGTTCATGAGTTTTATTATTATTATTATTTTAGGATCTAGCCCCTCACTTTCTGCCATGAAAAAGGGAACCAAATCATGCGAACGAAATTTGCATGGAATATGACAAATTGGCTCGTCTTATGCAGTAGATATGCTGCTTCCTTCTTGGACCACAATTGGGCCATGTGAAGCATAGTACGCGACGCATTTCTTGATTCTTACGGTTCACTTGGGTGGTCATCACATTTTCATTTTTTATCATATTCAAGACTATATATCGGTTTGTCGTGTGTTTACGGGTTTAGCACAATTGGCCACTATCCAATGCTCTTTCTACTTGTTTCTAGAAACTGCTTCTGTGATCATATATAGTGACGCGAAGCCGGGGTTTACCACCGGCCAAAGAAAATTAGTCCCCGTTTTGATGCAAGTGGCTACCCATTTGGAATTACTAGTCCACTGATTTTTCATCCTATGAATCATTTTCATCCTTCATATGCACAAAATTTCCCCCCACTTTTCTGGTTTGTCACTTTCTTCATTTGCTCAATAGTCTTCTTAATTATGTATAACTTTTATCTTTTTACATAATATATAATATGTTGTGTTAATGTTCCAAATTTTTAATTATATCATCTTAATGTTTTATATATGATTCTTTAAAAATATTTACTGACAGTAATTTAATACCAAGTTGAAATGTTATATACAAATTAATTATTGTGACAACTGATCCTAAATTAATTATTCTTAAAACTTTTTTGTCAAAAAAAAATAATTTTAATTCACATTAGACACATTACTGTTTAAAAAATAGTGACAATTTTTGTTTATATCACTCATTAAATATTTAGCGAGTTGTATTGATGGAGTCATGAATGAACTACGTTTTTAATTTGAATTTTTTTTAATTCAATCATGGATAATGTTTTAACCACAAATTAAATGAGTGTTTGCTCATTTGTAATCAGTCTAATCTAATTATATATAATAAATATTTCAAATTATTAATTTAATTGACATAGAAAAGAGCATTTATTTAAATGAAGTTATTTGAATAAAAGTGATAATAGAGCAATAGACATACGAGACGAATGACAGATATATCACAGTATATCGATTGAGCCCATAAAAGTCAAATTTGTTTAGTTATATTAAGCTCATAAAATGCTTTGGCCACAGAACAGGGGGGCATTACCTCATTAATTACCTGCATCCTGGTTTACGTTTCTACAGCTGCTCCCTTTTGTTTATTCAGATACACCTCACAGACTCATGATTACAACTGTTTATGACTGCGCATCCTTTGGTTCTTTTGTAATTTTGTTCTGGTTTTCTACGCTGAATCTTTGACAACTTACTGTTAAAAAGATATTCCTTTAATTGCACATATACCATATTAATCATATATTCCTTTAACTTAGAGTAGATGTGATTTGTTCTATATATTAAATACAATTTAAACCATTGTTCATCTTGTAGGTCTTCTTATTCTGCACACAATTTTCCGCAATATTTTAAAAAAACCAATTCATTTCTAATTTTAGTATAATAATACCTTTTTATTATAATATTATCTTATACTAATTGTAGTTTATTATTAAAGTAATAAGCATAAATGAAGAAGTCTCACATTAAAAATAATAATAATAAATAAGTAATAAAGAATGATTTTGAATTAAATATAATATCTAAATTTACTTATAGTATTTACTCCTGATTCATTCCTAAAGGATATTTTGGCCTTCTAATTTTTCTTTATGCTCCCCTTTTGTAGTAACAAGTTTTTGTTTTAGAGATAATTTTTTTTTCTAACTTAAAAATGAATTTCAAAATAACAGCAGTTAGAAGTTTTTTATTTTTAAAAATTAAATTTTAAAAACTGTTTTTAAGAAGAAAATGAAAATAAAATTTACGTTAACAAACAAAATTTATTTACTTTTAATTAAAAAATATTTTTAAAAAACAAAAAACAAACAAACTCTTAATTTTATTTTATTTTTTTGGTTTTAGCAACATAACTGGCTAACATTTAAGATGGAAAAAATAATATAATTTTTTTTTAAAGTAACTAAGATTGAGATTTGAGATCTTGACATAAACAATTTAATGTAAAAGAAAATTTAAAAGACTTTTATAAAATATAAAAAAATAATTAATAAATAATAATGAAGTCAGGTGCCATAATAAATAAGTAATAGAGTGTAAAAACAAAAAAAAAAATTATACAATATAATAATAAATGTCTTTTTACTTTAAAAATTCACTCAGATTCTTAATATAATTAGCAAGTATTAGTTGTAGTATATTTTATTTTAAGTAAAATATAAAATTGTTTTTAAATTTTATTTAAAATTGTACGAAAAACATGCACATTTAATTCAGAGCAAATAAGTAAAAAACTAATTAATTGATATTTTAAAGAAAAATAAAATAAAAAAAGACAACTTACGGGTATAAATAATTGATATTTAAAAATAAAAAAAGTAATATAAAAGGAAAAAATAAAAGTAATAAGTAGTCAAGATTTGAAATTTTAATAAAAAACAATTAAAGTTGATATTTTAAAAAATAAACTATTAGCCTAAAAGAAACCTTCAAATTAATTAATAAATTATAAATCTTTAAAATGTATGAAAATTATTTAAAAATACCGATTAAATAATATATGTTAAAAGGTGTAATAAAATATGTTCATATTCAAGATGGAGATAGAATATACACAGAGTTTAACCGGTGGAAAAGATAAAATATGATAATTAAATAAAAATTAAATATGATAAGAATAAAACAAACTTATATCTTATATTATATTTAATACATGTGAGAAAAAGATAATATTGTGTTATTCATTACGTCTATTTTTAATTTAATTTTTTAATAAAATAAAATTTATACTAAAATAAATAAATAAGACATTATATCAAGTAAATAAATATAAAAATAAAATAAATATTTTATCCCATTTTTATAAATTACAACAATGATAGAAATATTCTTTTCAATACAACTTTTTTTATTACTTCTGTTTTCTTAATTGTGTTTTGAGATTTAATTATTTTTACTCTTTCTATTTTAAAAAATATATAATTATCATGCTAAAATCAATCATTATATAAAAATTGTAAATATTAATTTTTTTATCATAACTAAGGGCTGTTGTTATTTTATTTTCTGCTTTATTCTTTTCTGTTTTGTTTTGAGTTGGAGTATCTCTTATACTATTGATAATATATTTTTCTTTTGACTATAAAAAAAAAAAAACAGCATCTTGACTATGTCCGTTTCTGATCTTTCTTCTCCTTACGTTTCTTACTTTTTCAGGTTAAAACAAATATTTCTATTTTCTTTTCCTTAAATTCTTTGTTCGCACAGAGAAAAATAAATCTATAGACTGAAGGAGTCATAGCTATAGTTGCTCTCTTATTTTTCAACTACGTTTACACGTAAAAGATAAAAAAGAAATAAAGAAATAAAACTGTAATCTTTATTTGAATAAAGTATTTGAATATTATAAACTAAAATATATATTTAAAATGTAATCTTGCAAAATGTTTTCATAAAATACGCATTGGAAGTTCCAAAATCATGCATAAACAAAACTATGAAGAGCTGATCCTTTTAGTAATTTCAATATTCATTAAGTGGAGAGCAACTTTCACAGGTTCATTAATTACTCCTTTTTTTGGTCAATATTATCTATAGTTACTTTTGTGCACATAAGATGATGGTATTATCTATAATTACTTATACTTTAAATGGTTGATGGGCTTTTTGAGCTCACGAACGGCTAGAAGTTTGATAGCTTAGCGAAGGTATTTTGTTGCATGTAAGCAATAGCCCATTTCTCTTCGTAAAGTTTAAGAAACCGTGAGGGTGGTAGTTTAGCATTGTTTCTTAAAATGTGATGTAGAAATTGCACCTGACAGGGTCTGTGGTCACTTATGTTCATCATGTGTTTTGTTTCCATTGTTGAAACAAGATAAATTTGGAAACATATTTGATGCTTTTTTCCCAATGTTCAGATTTTTCGATGAATCTGTAATATTTTGAAAACATGTAATAGTGTAAATAATATCGTGAAAAGAAATCTTGTAATGGATGCTTTGCTTAAATTAATTTTGCATCACAAAAATATTACAGTTATTCTCTTTTTGGTTTTGTCCAGTTAAGCAATCTTCCATTTTAGCTTGCATCAAAGTAATATTCATACTGTCGTTTTATGTTAGCTGTCTAGGCACCATCGACTTGGTAAAAGACTAACTAATTGCCTTGGCTGTTCATCTTTAAGTGATCTTAGCAATTGAATGCGACTTTTGTTTTTTTACTTAACTAACGGATCTTAATAGTGGAAACTTCAAATCCCAATGAGGCTCCACTCAGTGTGTTTATTCACTGAATGCTTGGAGCAGTAGTGTAACTCTTGATAAATGAAGTTTTACAGACAATCTTGCTACAACAAATTGCAAGGAAGCTAAAGAACGGTACACTTATTCAATAGAGAAAAAAAAAAAATCCGATACAGATTGGCCATGTAAAGAACATTACATCTCTCAACAAAAACGAAAATGCTGGTAAGATTAGAAGATATAGTTGATTTATTTGAATTATCACTATCATTATTCACTCCGTGGCAGTAACATCATTGTGATTGATTGCTGCATTTGTTTCTGGAAAAGCTACTAAGCTTACTAGACATCCTAATGGTTTGAAGAATTTGAATAGCCTTGGATCATTCAATTTCTCAGAAATTGGTACGGCCATCTGATCCAGTGTGCTGATTCTTCTTTCTCTTTTTGCGATTTGATTCATTTTGAGCTCTAGCTTGGTTTTCACTGGTAACAGTGTTCTCTTTTTGAACCTGCCCAGCATCGTCATTATTCTTCGAGGATGCATTTTTCTGTTCAGAAATGGAAGAATCAGAAGCAATGATTGGCCCATCATGACCAGCATTTCCATTGTCATTAGCATCTTTGCCTTTTGAATTTTGCTGGCCAGCATTATTTTCTGAATTTGCTGTTCTCTCTCTATTTTGTTGGGGTGAAGTATCAGAGGAATCGACTTGCCTAGCATCTGTGTTGTGATTAGCACTTCCATCACTCTTGGTGTCACTCTGAGTAGAGTTTACACGGTGATTCTGCACAGAATCAGTACTATTTCTCAACTTGAAGGATTTATTTTTCTTCAGCTGTGATGAAGGATTCGAAGAAGTGAGTTGTACCTTTTGGCTGGCATTTTTATTTCCATTTGAATTGGATGATAAAACGTCTTCAGGTATTCTTTCATGAGTGGGATTGTTGCTGGCGTTTCTGCTCAGAGCAGAATTACCAAAGGTACCATTGTATTCTCCGTTAGTCACGTTGCTCTCATGAGTTCTTGATGAATTTGTTGAGGTGGAATCAGCTCGTTCCCCTGCAGCATCTGATTTAGAATCTTTCATTTTTAGCATTGAATTGTGCAAGCTGGAGTGCTCCTCCTTGGAGTTTTCTGATGTTTTGAACTGTTTTGCTGTGGTATTCAGCGAATGAAGAGTGTCTACGCCATCACTTGAGAGCTTATTATGCTCTTGCTCCTCCTCATCTGATTTAGCGACGGAACTCTTGTGCTTTTTCTCACCCTGATTCCCTCTACCGTGACTTTTGTTGGTTTTTGTGACAGCAGAATCAATCACTTCTGTGGTTCTTGGTTCTGTTGCATTTAAGACAGATTCATGATCAAGATGAGCTACTTCAGTACCATTTGTCTTAGACTCAGGCTCAAATTCATTCTTTTCCTTTTTGCCAGATTGTTCTGCCTTGTTAAAACCTACATCACTGGATGCATTATCTCCTGCATAGTGTTCATCTCTAGGCTCCTCACTGTTCCTTTCCCTATCTTGATCTTCAAATGAAACCACTTCCTCATTCTCTTCTTTTTCCTTTTCTGCTTCATTGCTCTCCTCCTCTTCTTTTGGTTCATTCACATCAGTTCTTTTTTGGTTGATCTCTTCATTCTCTTCACTCTCCTTATCATCCGTCTCCGTGTCTCTTGTATCTTCTTTCTCTTGCTCACCTTTTTCCTCACTAATCTCACTGCTTTGATTTTCCTCCTCCTTGTTTTCGTTGTCTTCATTCTCCTTTATCACGCTATCACCCTCCTTGTTGGCATTAACCTTATTGTCATTCTCTTCACTTTCCTTCTTGGTGGCAACATTTTCAGAACTCTCTTCGATCCCTTGATCTACTGGATCCTGTCTACGCTCAGACTTCTCTTCATTGTTATTTTGCTCATTCTTATGCCTCAGCGTCTCATCTTCCCCACCGTTAATATGATGTGGCTTGTTTTGTTCTTCACCCTCCTCCTCCTTGTGCTTTGCATCTGTGACAGAAGGTTGGTCCACAAAAGGATAAGGGTCTTTCCTCCCTAACTTCACAGCCTCATTGCCAGTTTTTGCAGCTTCACCATAGGATGCTTTTTTCTGTCGATAATTTTGAGCTTGATAAACCAGCCAGATACAAAGGGCAAGCACAACGCATATTTGTAGAGCATGCTTCACTCTGAAGCCTTTGGATCTCGGATTCCTCTGTAGAGATGATCTGAACATGCCGAATATTCCTGATTGAGCCTCAAAATTGTACAAAATTTTCCTAGAAACCTGAAATGAAAGAAAAAAACATGTAGTTTTTTTACCAGCATTATTGATGCTATCCATGGATCACGCTTCACAAAAAAAATAAAAATAAGACCTCATATTTGAATCACTCATTAGGAGATAGATAAAAACACAACGTGGAACACTTGTAAGTGTAAAGAATTGGCTATATGCCCATATCTATCAACGTTAAACTTCTGATTCAAATAAACAGAAGACTATATATATATATATATATTCCTATTACATTAGAAATTGAGCACTTTTCCAGATATTAATAGAAATCGTAAAGCACACAACACAAATAACATGCATACATACCAGGAAGTAAACGAACTATGGAGCTGCTCTCACTTGAATGTGATAACTGATACCGCTCTAGCAACAAGCAAGTAGATGTTAGATGTAAACAATTATTATTATTTTTTATGCTGAAACTGCGATGGCAATGGCAATGGTCTGAGAGTCATTTATAGGAAGGTAATGCCCAGATTTTAAAGATAGATTGTTGGTTTATTATAATCATTTCATTAATTTTTTAATTATAAGTCAAGTAGAGAAAAGGTGAAACGACGCCGTCCCATATTAAAGTTAGGTCCCCTGTCATCCATGAAATTATACGAGAAGAAAACTTCCTCCAATTACAATTCAACACGTGGTATCTTTATATAGATAACTTAAGTCGGTTACACTCAACTCAACTGCCACGTTCCCGCTCAATTTCTATGCACGATTAAGGAATATAAATATTTCATTAACAATATTGTTAATAATCTAATATATTTTTAACACATGTTTTATTTTTTATTTCTTTAATTAGTTATCTTATGATACTAATTAATAAAACCCTTGTTATTACTATTACACTTAGCGCACACATATGTATTAATTAAAATACTTGTCTACAAGAATCAACCAAAAATTTAATTGAATATTTACTTGATCCATGAAAATCTCTATTTTTATAAAGGGAAATAGTAAAAAACAAATTGTTAGTATATAAGAATGTGAATGGATTCAAATATTTTGTTAACTTTCATTTAATTGTTTTGTTGTCTATATTTTGTGAAGGAAAATGAAAATCTAGATAAATTAAAAAATGAAAAAGAAATAGTTAAGGTAAGATGATGATCTATCTCTTAGCATAAACGTCGACAGAAGCATAAACCTCTTTTATTTTATTTTTTATTTTGAATTCTTCGAAAGGGATAAATTTTGACCGACGAGAAAAAAAGCGATTTGAAATTGGAATTGAATTCCTCGAATGTGATAATGTGAGTCTTTCTCTAATTAGGTATTGTGTTACATTTTAGGTGAATATGTACAATGTTAGTCTTCTTCTATCCCTGCAAGTTTACATTTTCTTTCAATTTATTTTGCAATGGGACTCAGTTAGCACATTTCAGTGAATTAGTTGTTCCTTTTATCACTCGAAAAGAGAAAGGGACTCGGATGTTATGGTGAGGGGATCTTCTGTTAATTGTTTTGTTCCAAAAAGGATGAGAAACCATCAAGATCTTGCTTCCACAATTTCATAGGACCACGTAATGATAAGATCAGTTTTAATTTCTTTTGATCAATTTTTTTAATTCATTTATTTATTCAATCATAGCAACTGTAGTTAGTTAGTATATGAGAATAAATTTATATATTCAACATATTTGAAAGTTATGTTACTGATAGATTCTGTTAATATCTTGAATTTAACAGTGCAATTAATTATGCTTTTTAACGTGATTATCATTTTTCTAATTAATTAATTTATTTATTCTCATACTATCATCTTGCCCTTATCTACTCGTATCCTAAAATATTCTATTAATTATGTTCTATTTACATCTGAGTTCAAAAGGATATTTTATTTCTAATTATATGTTTAGATTAATATAGATATTTGTTTACGTCGTATTACGGTATTATCGTTAATTTTAATTAGGTTATATAAGTCCGATTGGCAGTTAGTCTTTTGCTGGAAGTAAAAGAATAAAAATATAGAAACTAAAAGTAGAGATAAGAACTAAAATAAAAACAAATATAATTTACAGGACAAAAAATATATATTAACCATGATATAATTGTCAGTGCAGATTTTTTTTAAAAATAAATAAATTCACAGGAATTAAATATTTTATAAAATTAATAAATTTTAAAAATACTTTCATTGAATTTGTAAGTAAATATCATAGGAACTATGTTCATTTATAATTTTCTTAAAGATAAATCTTTTAAACAATATTCATAAAGATAAATTTGAAAATATTTCAAGCATAGTTATAACATTTTGCAAAATGATGATTCTCATAAAATATTATTCCATATATATATATATATATATATATATATTATTTTCTTTTCAAATAATCAATGAACTCCTGTCATATAAATAAAACTTAGTATTCCGGATAGTGAAATACTTACTAGACTCTGCGGTGCTTTTTTTATATATTATTTTTAAAAATTTGTTAAATTTAAAATATTTGTTTATTATTTAATTTAGTAATATTTATAAAATATACAAAAAAAACTTTCTGACGATTTAAAAAAAAGGTAAAAAAAATTGAGAGCTGATTATAAAAGAATCTCTAAATGCAACTTTCGATGTTGATTAAGGATAAAAAAAAAATGAAAAAAAACTTTAATAATTTTAATAAAATTCAATGCCACGCGTAATAAAACGGATAAACACACAAGTTATCTATAAAACCCCTTTAATCAAACCCAAAAATTAGGTCTTTCCGTTCCTCTTTCTCGGTTTTTCGTACCCTACGAGACCAGTACGCAGGAAACAGCTGTTGGGACTATCTCAAACCTCATCCACCCAATGACCTCTAAGCTACTTCCTTCCAACCTCCGTCACCACCTCACTAAATCAGCCCGTCTCCTCCGCCACCAGCTTCTGTCCACTGCTGCTGCGGCGGCAGAGCCCCAAAGCCATGATAACTCGCTGGGACTGACGATGAAGGGGGTGAGAATCTCTGGAAGACCCCTTTACCTAGACGTGCAAGCGACATCACCGGTGGACCCTCGAGTCCTCGATGCCATGCTTCCCTTCTATCTCTCTCGCTTCGGAAACCCTCACTCTCGCACTCACTTCTATGGTTGGGAATCCGACGAAGCAGTGGAACATGCTCGCTCTCAGGTAGCGTCCCTTATCGGTGCTTCCCCCAAAGAAATCGTCTTTACCTCTGGTGCTACCGAATCCAACAACATATCCATTAAGGGTGTCATGCATTTCTACAAGGACAAGAAGAGGCACGTGATAACTACACAAACGGAGCACAAGTGTGTGCTTGATTCTTGCCGCCACCTTCAGCAGGAGGGTTTCGATGTTACGTATCTTCCTGTTGAGGCTGATGGTTTGATTGATTTGGAGAAGCTTAGGGCTGCGATAAGGCCTGATACAGGGCTTGTTTCTGTGATGGCGGTGAACAATGAAATTGGGGTGGTTCAGCCGGTGGAGGAAATTGGGAAGATTTGCAAGGAGTTCAATGTTCCCTTTCACACTGATGCGGCTCAGGCTTTGGGTAAGATTCCAATTGATGTGGAGAAGTGGAATGTGAGTTTGATGTCATTGAGTGGGCATAAGATTTATGGGCCTAAAGGGGTTGGGGCTTTGTATCTTCGGAGGAGACCTAGGATTCGCGTTGAGCCTCAGATGAATGGTGGTGGGCAAGAGAGAGGGATTCGAAGTGGAACTGTTCCTACACCTTTGGTTGTGGGGATGGGAGCAGCATGTGAGGTGGCTATGAGGGAGATGGAGTATGATGAGAAGAGGATTTCTGCTTTGCAAGACCGGCTGCTTAATGGGATTAGAGAGAAGCTTGATGGGGTGGTGGTGAATGGGAGCCTGGAAAGGCGATACACGGGGAATCTCAATTTGTCATTTGCGTATGTTGAAGGGGAGAGTCTACTCATGGGATTGAAGGAGGTGGCTGTATCCAGTGGCAGTGCCTGTACTAGTGCCAGTTTGGAGCCTTCCTATGTGTTGAGAGCATTGGGAGTGGATGAGGACATGGCTCACACTTCTATTCGGTTTGGTATTGGGAGGTTCACTACTGAGGCTGAAATCGACAGGGCAGTTGAGCTCACGGTTCAGCAAGTGGAAAAGTTGAGGGAAATGAGTCCGCTTTATGAAATGGTGAAGGAAGGTATCAACATCAAGGATATTCAATGGGCACAGCACTGATAATTGATAATCCAAGTTTATGGTATTGGGAGCCTCTTAGAACTGTTTTGAGAATCACAATAGGTATTTGGTAATTTACGATGAAAAGTTCTCTAGAATGGTTTTGTATGATAATAAGTTAATAACTTTATGGTATTGCATGCATTTTATTGGCAAGTACCTAAATTACATCGTGATGACAGAATAAATACTTTTGTTCATAACATATTATATAGTCTTCATTTTGTTTTGTGTATCACTGAATCTTTCACTTGAATTGCGAATTACATATGGTGCACTCTTGGTATTGATTGTGTTTGCCTGCAACTTTTTAAATTAGATGATGATAATGCAATAAAGGGAAATTGCCCATAACCCGTTGTAAATTTCCTAATTTGCTTGGCTGTTTTATTTTCAGTAGCTAATTTATTGAAGAGAGTTATATTTAAATCATACTTCACACAAATACACTCAATTTGAAACAGCTAGTAGTTAGGTACTTAGCTAAAATATTGTTCTGCATTCACCAATAAATCACTGCAAAATTATCACAAGAAAAATCCTGGAACTATTAAGCTGTCTCTTTGGCTTTGAATAAGTATCTATTATCTGTTATTGATCATTATTTTCTTCTAAATGAAACTTTCCACTCTGTTCAAATTTTATTTATATCAGCAACTGTGAGGTTTTTTTCTGTCCAAAAGAGTTTTGTTTCCTGAGGTTTAGGTTATATAAATTTCTCATTATAGTTTTAGCTTTGTATGTTCACTTGAAATAGGCAGTTATTCCATGTTAGGTGATTTGTTAGTTACTCACTGACTTACTCTGAAGTGGGAAGATGGTGTGCATCATGTCGTCATCCCTGTAAATTGGGTACTTCCGGTTTGGGTAATAAAAGTTGGAAATGGTATTCAATTTTTGGGGTGTCTGTTAATGTGAGATTTTGCAGATAAGCTTTTACTTTACAATAGCTCAATTGAATAGAGACTGAAATCATGAGAATGTTCCTGATCTGTGCAGCTTGCAGTTGATTAAAGTTCTTGTTTTATACAAATGTGATCTTCTTGTTGATCTGTGATGCATAATTACTAAGCACCAGTTGTGAGGTCATTAAAGATGAAGATGAGGATTCTGATACATTTTCCCTGTAGCATCTAATGATAGTTTTCAGTACCACGATGATACATAAGGATTTTCAGTACAAAATTAAGCATGTTCTTGTGAAATAATTTTACCAGATATGGTAGATACATATATGGTAAAATTCTTTTAAATCTTGCAAATGTGCACGTTTGTTGATTAGCTATGAGAATGTTCCTCCTGATAAGTGCAGCTTACTGTTCGTTAAGCTTCTTTGGTTGTACAAGTGTGACATTCTTGTTAAGATGTATGCCCTTGATATGAGATCATTAACAAATGAAAATGACTGTTCTGATATTTGTGCTCCAAAGCACATCTCTATCTTGTAGAAACACATTTGGAGTTTCTTCAGTTAAAATTCAGTTGAGGTTTTATCATATATTCTGTTTCATGTTGGTTTGCATTTTACACATCAAAGTTGCAGGACATAATTTTGCCAAAATTAACACAGCTTGCTTGACTAAATTTGATGGAAATCTGGAAGTTGAGATTACAGTCATATTATATCATAAAATTACATTGCAAATAAAAGTTTGACCTGGAGTTATTATTAGGGCTTCACTAAGTGGAATAAGGCATTTCTTGTTCTTGTTAGAGCCATTAGGTATACCATTTGTTTCAATGCTGCCTGTCACTGGTGTTTATGAGAAGGCATGCATTCTGTATGGACTGATCATTGTAGGCGTTGTTATGCTTTTTTCTGTCCTTAGGCGTTATTGTGGCTTAAAGTGGGAGTTGTGGCCACCATTCCACTTGGAACTGAACTTTTAAATGGCTAGTGAGCCGAAGGTGACTTGTAGATATAAGGAACGAAACTTGTAGACTCAAAGCTCAATCCTCGTACCCCATGACCACAAGGTCGACACCTAGTTACTAGACTCTTAGTAAAGCCTGTTTGGGGATCTTAGTCTCAAAATGTATAAAACTCTTTCCTTGCATTTTGGGTGGCATTTTCGTTAGGTCTACGTGTCTTAAAAACTAGAGTAGCTTAATGTACGTTGCAGTGTGCATACTCTGTGTCTTGCACTGTGAATTAGTCCCTGTCTTGTGTGTGGTTCTTTCTCTGATTATTGATTTGTGATTATTTTGCGTTCACTTGAATTACCTTGTTAATTGTTGGAAAACATTTCTCTTGGGTGGCTAGATTTATGGAGAACTTTGTTGGGGATCATAAATTGATGAAAAAGAGAATATCTTGAGACGGCAAATGATCAGTAATTTCTTAAGACTGTTTTTTACGTACATTGTAACAGTTAGGTATAGATACATTGCAACAGTTAGGCAACCGAAGATCTTTAGGCCAAGGCTTGTCATTCTTCAAAATGCATTTCCAAAAAAGAAAGTAGTGTTGAAAATGTCCTGACAAAGGCGTTATAGAATAGAATAATGTGGGGTGCTTTATCTCTTACTAGTGCTGCTGGCCCATCAGCATCAGATGGGAACTAGAGTATGACTAGTGTGTAGTTCAGCGTAGTACAATTTGTCCACACCACAGAGATGGGGCAACTTCAAAACCGTAACACTGATATTTACAGCACAAAAAACTTGAGAGGAAAAGGTACATATGGAAATTGGAATCAGAATTCCTTTCCTCCCTGTGGTCCCCTACCTTATCAGTTGTGTCTGTCTTGACCTTTGCACCAACATTCTCTTTATCTTTGCGATATTGTGTTGTTCATGAAGCTCCTTGCTTTGTTGCTTCCACTTCTCCCTCACGTGACTCCTGCCACCCTCTGTACAGGATATTCTTCTCATTGGGCCTTGGGTAAATCTAAACTACTGCCACAAACTATGGTTATCTCTTAAAGTGTCAAACTAAAAAATAATATAAAAGGTTGTTTCGATCACTTTTCACTTTTAACGTAAAGTTTCTGTTCATTCTGTAGTCATTCTCATTCGCTTCAGAGCATTTTATATGGCCTGTTTCAAAATTGTAATCACTAGTATATAATGACTTCTCTTGGATACGTGTTTATAATGATATTGTTTTTTCGTTATTGGTCCATTTACCGAATTACATTACATGCAACGGCTGTAATAAAATTAGCCAGCTTCTAGCTTGTTGTGTGCTTCAAATCAGACTCATTCATCATGGCTATACTCCGTATAATTTTGGAAGGTTGCATAGGATTTTAATCTACAGGAGATCAATGCTTGTTCTGCTTTTTCAGCAAGTTCTGCTCGTAGAACGGAAGCTATGCACATGAGGTTCTGATTTGCTTCACGACAAAAGGATTTTCCAAGGGCAAGACTGTTGCTGCTTATATTTATGCAAAAGATGTATGCACAAATCTTATCCATCAATCATGAGTTCATGTCACACCATGAAACCATTATTGTAACGGATACTCATAATAAGACGAACTATTCCAACCTTTCAACGGACTACAACAAAAGTTTTAATCTTTTGCCGTGACAAAACATCTCAAGTTTGACGCAGTTTGGTTCACAAAAAATTACATAAGATTGAATTAACCCATATTTCTTTGAGCCCCCAACTAAGAAAAGGAAAATGGTTTTTGTATAACTAGTGAGATAATTTTTGTCGTCTCTTAATTTGGAAAATATATTTTTAAGAATAAAATAATTATATATAATATTAAATATTATGTTAATTATTCAATATTTGAACAACAAAACTACATAAAAAAAAGACATTCATATGTTAGTCCTTCATGTGATGCCAGAAAAAATGAAAATGGACTAATATGAACCATGTTTGAAACAGAAGTCTAAAACTAAGCACTTAATAAAGATTAAAATATCCTGTGCATTAAGTATGAACAACTAAAGTGAGTGTTTGCTCAATTTATTTACTTTCATATTAACTTAGACGTGTCTGACAGTAAAGAATGCTGTTCTCTTCCATCGTTTCAATTCCTAAAATGAGAAATGAAATACTGTGAAACACTCCACAAATTTAGCTTTACTCAAAACAGCATCTGATCTCGTGCCTTCATACTATTGATATACCGATCAACAGGTTCAAGATGGGAAGGGTGTTACATCATGTGACTCGTTATCGTCTTGTCATTTTGAACGCAAATCACAAACTTGGGTTTCCTTCCAACCAACTATCTCCCTGCATTCACGGACACACAAATTCACCACCACATTATTGGAAAAACTGCAGCCAATTTCTAATGATACTAGAAAGATATTAGCCGTAGATATCATACACTGCTTCCCTTCGGTGGCTAGTTATCAGTGCCTATAGCCAGTTGACCATACAATACATAGTTATTCTCGTTTTGTACAACAACTGTATAGAGTCAAACAGTGGCGTTGCATTGATAATATGTCTTTCTCATTTCCAGCTAGCAAAAGTTGTAACTAATGTGTGACTTTGAACATGTTACATTATAGCTTTTTTTAGTAGTTATAGATATCATCAAAATTACAGTTTTCTTATTGGTACTTGCTAACAAAACCAACTCAAATGTGAACAGACGATAGACTAACTAGTTGTAGTGTGTCTTATCTTTATTTTTCGTTTTAGTTCATTTAAGTGTTTAAATTTAAAATTCAATCATTTTTGAGAAACTGCTTGATATCATGTATAGCTAAGGTTTTGTTCTGAAAATTTTGTAGTACAAAATGATCGCTCCAATTTAGGGGCATGGGAAACAGCATATGAAGAATCTACTTGAAAGCTACTTAATACTCGCTTAGGACAAGTAGTAAGCAATCAATCTCTGTTCACGTTTTGGAGAGAGATTATAAAAAAAACGAAAATTTAAGAGTACAATCAGAGGTTAGCTTGTCAATTTTTTTGTTGCTTTCTCTGATTGCATGTAGCAGGATTTGGCCCCGGCTAGAGAGTACTACGGGATGCCTTAATAAAAATACAAAAAGTAAAAAACGGGTATTACTGCATGGCATTGGTTTTTCAAAAATTAAAAGATTTACTGTATTCTTTAAGTGGAGGTTTCTCGAGATAGGTGAAATCTTTTTCAACTTATTACCAAATCTTGTGTCTACATCTTCCCCTCATCCCAAGTTAAATGTAAAAAGTGGAGGTTTTTCATCTATTCTTAGTTGGGAATTTTATCAATATATTAGCCATTTTAATACTTATTTATATTATTTCATGCATATACCTCACAAAGAATAAAAGAAGGGAAAGTGCAGAGAAATTGTCACCCGCATCAATGTCCATTTCACAAGCACCCCAAAATGTTAGAAATGAACAGAAGAAAGCAGCCATGCTGCTCTACGCAAGTTGAGATTTTAATGACACAAAAAGTAGCACTGATATTTAGTTTTAAGTTGGCGTAATCTGCTAGAGCAACAGAAGCACTAAAACAATAACACGCTGCAAGTTACATGTTGGACAATGATTAGCCGCCGCAGGTGATACAACTAAACATTGCCAGCAAAGAAATGGAGGAGGATAGTTTCTGAGGGCTATGTAAGTACAGCATAATATAAGCTTTTCCTCAGAGAGAGGACATTTGAGAGGTAAGTGCACAAAAAGAGAAAGATAGAAAGAAAGAAAAGAATTACTTAGAAATGTATATTCTTCATATACAAAATTGACAAATTAGTTGCTATTCTTGATTATCTAAACAAACTAAATTGTGGAACAATAGGAATCATGGGTTGAAAATAAGGTTCCCACATTTGCACTTCCAACTCATTGGCTTGTAGTTGGAACTACCTTCTCCCCCAGCATAAGCAATATTAGACACCGTTGAAGGGTTGATCTTTCCTTCCTGCACTTGGGGATTTGTTGGTACCTGAATAGCCTCACAGTGTCCACAAGACCTGCACCTTCTTTCACATCTTGGTGGCCTTGAACCTATCTGTGCCCTCACCATCGCCTTATCATCATGTACTGTCTACAGAAATCACCATAATTGCCCATAAAGTTAAAAGTGTTTTATCACTCATGCTAATTAGCATAGACTAGAGAACATTTTCAAAGGTAATCCAAATTGTACCTGATAAAAACCAGTCTGCTTAGGAGTCTTTCTACCTGTAAGAACAAGAGAGAAGACAATGTTAGTTGGAGCTGGTGTTTATTTGGAACCTTTAAAAATGGCTCATGTATGTGTACCTTCAGTCCCAAATCCCAGCTGGGTCCAACTTGAAACCATCAGAAAGAAAAGAGAAATGCTAACAAAACTGAATCTTTGGGCACAAATAAAATGATGATCACGCCCCATTTCAGATAGAAGAAGAAGGAAGGATCTAAGATAGGTGATCAAGAAAGAGAAATTGAGAAGTGAAAGGACAGATAACAATATATGATGAAGCAAAAGAGCGCTAACTGAATGACACCATTGGAAGTAGGAATAAATATATTGCTAAAAGAGCTTTTCATGTTGAAGTGATGGAACATAGAAGGACAAATGAGAAAAATGCAGAGGGGCAAGAAAAGGATGAGCCCCGAAAAGGGAAACACCTCTTCTTCGGTCTACGAGCCTCTGTCCAAACAAGAAACCAAGATTATATAATAATTGCTGCAAGGTTGAGAACCATAAGCATTTACAAATTACAAACCCCAGAACCACAAATAGATGATATATAAGACAAGTAGAACATAGAAACAGCAAAAGGCCACAAATTTCACCAGATGTAAGGGACAATCTCCCACTAAAGGACATGCATTTACAGCTGTAGATTTTTTTAGTTTTTCATTCCTCAATTTTATTTATTTTATACAATGAAAAAGTGGGAATAGGGTGTACCATTTTTTTGTAGTATGTCATCAGAGTAGTCTCACTCTATAATGCTACATTCCACTCACTTTTTCTTTCTGTCTGTGTCCGAGAATGAGAAAGAACGTAATTTTTGGCTCAACATTATGGTATTATCTTTTCAATCTATCATTATGAAATCACATTCTTTTTATTTATTTGATGGAATGGTTCAGATGAGAACATGCATTCATTCTGTTGTGTTTCATTTTCATAGTCATAGTGCTATGCTAGCATGTAGCGACTAAATGACGAGGCACAGTCGCTTACATGACACCTTATTTCCCACGCTCACTTGTCTTGTCATTTTGTCCATTTTTGGTATAAATTGAAACTCCATATCTCACCCCTCACGCCTTTTAAAATATCGTTTAAGACTTCATAAACTGAATTTTGTGTAAGCGTATCCACATTTGCAGTCAGTAAACCGTTTTTTATAAGTAGGTGACCCGGTTTCTTCCTTTAATGGAGCAGAAGACCCGTATGCTGCAATTTAATCATTAAGCCCCAGAAGCTTGTGTTTTTTGTTTTTTTATCGATCTGAATATTGCTTCTTCTTTTCTTTTTTTTTCTAGAGACCTAAATTTTGCTTGTGTGCATGGACAATTTGGGACATTATAGTACGTTTGTTTTCTATTTTTTAAAAACAGTTTTTCCTCTTTAAAAGTAAAAATAAAATAAAATATATTTGTTAAACATATTTTTTATTTTTATTTTCTTCTTAAAAATATTTTTTTAAATTATTTTAAAATATAATTTTTAAAAATTAAAAATGAAAACAAAAACAAACAAGTTCCGAACTTAGTTTATTCTCATACTAAATGACGACGGCCCAATATGTGTTGCGAAGGATTCTCAGCCCATAATTAATATGCAGTTCGTCGCTTTCTGATCCAAAAGGAAATAAGAAGCAACCCACTTGATTACGATAAAAACAAAAATGTAGAAAAATGAAGAAGATAAAAACCAAAACAAAAATTAAAGTTTGTAAGAAATATATATATATAAAAAACAACAAATTTATTTAAATAATACTATTTATAAAACAAATTCTAGAAATGAGGTTTTCTTAAAACATATTTCCTGTCTAGGGTAATTTTTGGCCAAGTCATTGCTTGTATCATACCTACATGGTCGATAGTAATTTTTTAATAATTTTTTAACAGTCTATCATTTCTGACTGTCTGATACAGCTTTATATACTAACACGTGGAAATTGATGAATAAAATAAAAAATAATAACAAAAAGAGTATCGATCCTATAAATGTGATAGTAGCCACGTGTCATTACAGAATTTGTATCGTCCCAGCAGCGACGATAGTAGTTTGAAATAAATGATTAGGGAGAAAAAGGAACATGTGTTCAAATCGTAACTGTGTCGACTTTAAAATATCGACTGAGCTATCGACTTGTTTGGTGTGACACTACTTGAAGTGTAGACATTTGGCTTCATCGAAACGGGTGTCGTGAAAGGGCTTCTTTTTCTCCGTCCTCTTTCCCTCCCTCCATTAATGCCAGCGTCAAAAAAGATTTTCATTGTTGGTGTGAAATTTTTCTGAACAAATTTTTAATTTTGCAGTATTTTTAAGGAAATTCAAAGGCAAATATAAAATTATGAAATAAATAAGTTTTCTTTTATTTGTAAGAAAAAAATAACAATTTTTACATGTTTTGAAATTTTATACAGGTGCCAGTGCTAAATAGTGCATTTTCATCGGTACTCTGAGGTTAATGAAGAATGAAAATTTTATATACATATATTTTATATTTTATTTAAGTCCTTAAATATTTATTTCGTAATATTATGTAAAAAAAATTGAAATTGTAATATCTTTGAAAATTGGATTTAGAAATAGATAAATGTTGTTGTATGTAAACTGGTAGTTTAGCATTAGATTTGGAATTTTGTTTATATATGTAGATTTAACTGAGTAAATTATGTTTAACATTGTGCTTAATGTCAGTAAAAATAGATGAAATATTTATTGTAATTATTAAATAAAATATATTAACGGTATAGGACTTTTATAAAATAGTAAAATGCATAATTACTTAAAAAAATACATGATAAAACATGAATTATTTATTAAAATTTGAAATAAACCTTATTATTGTTTAAATTAATTAAGAGGGTGATTAAAAGAAAAAAAATTAATGAAAAAATCTTTAAAATGTAGAATAATTTTTATTAAAAATAAACAAAATTTTAGGTAAACATACTTTTAAAAATAGTAACTAGTATATGAAAAAATGTTACAAGTAAATTAGAAATTATTAAATTTTTAATGATAAAAAATTAAAATAAAATTATTTTTATTTTGATATGAAGAAGGAATTTAAATGATAATTAAAATGAAATATATATATATATATATATATATATATATATATATATATTTCAATTGAAATAATCAATATGTAATATTGTATAAAAAAATAATTATTTAAATAATTTATTTTAGGATTCATAAAAATTAATAACTGAATTTTTTAAAAATAAAAACATATTACATTTTAAATATATAAGAATTATTTGGTTGTTGTAGAGTAAAATAACATTTATATTAGTAACTTTAAAAAAAAAAGATTTAATTACGTAAAATTATAATTATACATGTTTTTGAAAAATTTTATAACTTGACTTCTGTAATAATAAAAAATATAGTTAAAATAATTTATAAAATGTTATAGCTTTTTAGATTAATATTAACTTTGGTTAAGAAATAAATTTATGTTACCACATTAAAAAGAAATTATATTCAAGTAAGAACATGGTTAGGTTAGATTAATTAAACGGTAACAATTAATCAAAAAGTTATTAAAATTTATTTACGTAAGTTAATAAATATGTTACCACACATGAAATATTAAACTACTATAACTCTAATAAACTGTAACTCTAATATAAATTATCATAGGAATAATAAGGTTATATTGTGAATACTTAATTTTATCTGGGTTCCTCTCAAAAATAAATTTTAAAATAAAAAATTAAATATAATAATTTTTTTTAAGAGGTTAAGAAAATAGATAAAAAAACTAATTTAAAATTTAAATTTAAATTTTTAATTTTTAAATGTAAAATCAGATTTAGAAATGGTCAAAGTAGTTAGTAGATTTTTAGGAAAATGGATAAAAAAGAAAAAAAAATTGATTACTGGTTATCGAAAAATAAGGGAGCCTTTATTAGGATCTAGGGTTTTAGAAAATGCATATAAATAGGAAGCTTAGGTCTTCAGAGGAGAGGACTTTTAGGTAAACACCTTTTATTTTCTTTATGGAGATACTTTGAGAGCACAGAGAGAAAAAAAAAAAAAAGAGAGAGAATTTAAGAGAGAAAGCTCAGGAAATGAAGAGAAAGAAGAGATTCAAGAGAGAGAGCTCGAGAAACAGAGAAAAGAGCTAAAAAGAAATCAACTGAGAGTTAAAGCATAGTCCTAAAGATCAATTGAAAAGAACAAATCAAAGGAGAGATTCAACCATGCAGGTAAAAAGAAAAACTTTTATCATGTAAGTGTTTTACATTTTATTCTTTGGTTTGTTTCTCATCCTCCCTATCTAATAAAGAATTTCCTCTTTGTTCATTTTCCATCCTCTCTTTTTCTAATAAGAATTTTTCTTCTTTGTTCATTTCTCATCCTCCCTATACATTCTTCTCTTCTTCTTCATAATCTAACATTTTTTTGCAAGTGTAGTAAATAAATAAATATATGAAATGAGAAAATTCAATAAAATTTTCTTTTTATAAATTCTAGTAATTTTTCTAACCCTAAATTACTTCTCCCTCAATCAAACCCCTAAAAATAAAATAAAAATAAAAATCCAAATCCATGAAAATTATTTGTTTTTCTAACTCTGAGTATTACCTTTTTTGCAAACCCTAAAAACAAACTATTTTTTTCTAACTCTAACTTCTTTTTTTTTTTTGCAAACCCTAAAAATAATATTTATTTTTCTAACCAAAATCATTCAATTTTTTTGCAAGGTCTAAAACAAACTATTTTTTCAACCCTAACAATTTTGTAAATTATAAAAATTTATTTTTTTAAATCTTAAAAATTCTTTCTTTTCATAAATTCTAAAACTCCTAATTTCTTTGCATATCCTAACCTAAAGAAAAACTTATTTCCTAAATTGAATAAGAGTTATTTACTCATTATTTTTGTTTGCTCTTGTATTTGTTTATTTATTCTGTATGTCTTTCGTTTGTTTCTTTTTTTTGTGTGCAAAAATCTCATATTTAAAGATATATCAATTTTGCATTATTATAAAAAAATGATTCTTTTGAATCCACGCAACGGCCAAGTAATTTTGATAGAGTGGAGGATCCACCTTCAACGTCACTTGGATCGTAAGGGTTTATTGAGTAGCCGTGTGCTAACTTGAACCCTGTGCAGGAGTAGGTTTACTTAAAAATGATAATAATAAAGAAAACTCAAGTTTTTTTCATAAAAAAAGAAAGAAA